AAAAAAAAAAAAAAAAAAAAAAAAAAAAAAAAAAAAAAAAAAAAAAAAAAAAAAAAAACGTCATTACTAAATAGCAAAATATTAAATTGTTGCGAAGTGTTGTATATGAATATTTTTATGGAGTATTTTTCACTCATTTTTTCAAACATCTTTGATTCGCCAAGATGTATATTTTATATTGTGCACTCGCCAGTTTGTATGGTAAAATGTTAATTCACAGTATTTACTTTTATTTTGTAAAATTAAGCGCCACTACAAATGACTTTTTTATTTTGAAGAAAAAAAAAAAAGGAATATTTAAATCTAGTAACCAACATCTATACTTGTGTACACAATATTTTTGTGCTACTGAACAAGCTTTCCTAAACGAGTTTTTTTTGTACATCCAAAAATATCAGCGAATAAATGGAATTAAGTTTTTTCGATAATGACTCTTTTCAGAATGTATCTTAGAGTTATTGTCATCGCGCAGTTGAAGGGATTTTTCCTTTTAAATGAAAATGAAAAAAAAAAAAAATAAAAATACTAATTTCCAAACAACACATTCACTAATTTTTAAAATAACTGAATAAAACATAACTTTGTTCAAAATTTGTATTTATTTATTTTTTCCTTAATAATTATGGATTTTTTAAATCATATAAGTAATAAATGTTTATGAATTGGGGTTGGCATTCGGACCACGTCGGCGGCCATATGTTTGTACAACATTGACGAATCTACGATTGTACTGAATTCGTCTCTTTGCACGTCCAGTCTTTTTCTTACTTTTTTCTTGTTTTTCAACCTGTAAAATGGACCATGTTACTATCCAATAGAATTAAACCTGAATAAAATGTTTACAATATTTTGTAATGAAAACAAATTCAGAGTTCATAAAGATATTTTACTGTGCATTTTGTGCTTTTATTATAATTAAAAATCGATGTATTAAATGCGAATTCTGATATGAATAAAAAAAGAAAAAAGTCAAATGTTATTAAATCAAGTAAATAGATAAAAAAAGGTATTTAATATTTATACCTTTGGTGTTTGTCCTTTGACTTTGCCAGCACGAGCCAAGGATCCATGGACTTTACCTCCAAGAAGATGAACATTTAAATCAAGAGTATCTGTAGCCAACTCTTTTACAAGGATGTCATCACTAAGAATTTTACTAGCACAGGAAAGAGTGAACTCATCATTTTGAAATGCTGTGAGTTTTGCCTGCAGAAAGAGTTAAACAAAATATTTATGGAGTGTTTTTAACTGTTCATCAACTCCTGATTGCTTGAGATTTTCACTACTTTAGCATCATTACTCATTCTGATACTCCATCTGTTTAAAATTATCAGATTACCATGTAATCTCTAAACTAAAAAATCTTGCAATAAGTCAGAATGAAAATTTTCGTCATTCATCTCAATTGTAACAGCTATGATCACATTGATAAAAAATTAAATTAAAAATTGTCTTATTAAAAAAATCAAGTTCTAACCTTAATATGGGCGATGGTCTCGTCGGGATGGCACTCTAAGACGTGCGTCTCCTGTTCCCTTATAAACAACTGCATTTTAAATAACTTGACTGTTTACCTGCATAAGAATAAGAACAATCAAGATTATGATGCTAAAAAAAGTAACGATGCACGAGAACAATCTTATTCGCGCATGTAAAAGCCTACACTACAGATGTATTTTCAGTTTGATAAGTCAAAAAACGTTAATCAAGAATAAAACAATAATATACACTTACTTTAGAGTCTTTACAGGTAGATACCACGCCGTAACACACTTGAAATTAATATTTGGTATGACTCACTTCGATCTTTATACATATGCTTGTTTAATGACCTATTACATTACCTACTTAATTACTAGCAAAATATGAAAAATGAAAATAGGTAAGTAACACATTAACAAACGCACATAGTCGTCGCTGGTGATTGGTTCAACCAATGCATTGCATACAACGATACAACTCACTCCCAAAAAAAAACACATCAAGTCACAATGTAGATTTATATATTATATGAATGTCACAAGTCGTCAGAGCATTGTCAATTTGTCAGCACACCAAAGCATATCGCGCCATCACCGCTCGGCCGCTGCACGACGGAATCGGAGTTGCATGTTAACAAAGTCGAGAAGCTACTTTCACAGGTTAATTATTCATTCAGCATAAAAAGCATATTAATGTTCGTATGAACAAATCATTGAAGTATCTGCGTAATAAACCGTAAGTAAATGTTGATCAAGAAATATGCATTTAAGATTATAATTTATAATATGCAATTTGCATTGTTGGTTAGCAAACTACACTTTTCTTAGCAAACCGCATCTTTTTTTCAGATCACAATTATAATTGGGGTAATGATACTTTTTTCGTTAAAAACAAATAAATACCAACTTTAAGAATGAGTAGCTCTGAGTTTTTAAACCTGATCGTAACGAATTCCAACAATGACTCATACTCAGTTGAAAGGAGATTTAAGAAGGATGTATCAATAGCAGAATTTAAAAACAAATTGGAGCTTATAGTTGGATGCCAGTCGAATTTGATGAAGCTAGAGATTTATAACAAAAACGATGACATCGTGTGCCAGCCAAACGAGAATGATCGAACACTTGGCTCATACCCTGTGGAAGATGGTATGAGAGTTCATGTTGTTGGCGATAGTGAACAGACTAATGAGGAAGGAGTCAGAAAGTTTGAATTATCCCAAGAAGAGTATTCAAAGAGATCAGATACTTTAAAGGCATTTCTGAAAGAGCACAAATTGGGAAAGTACGATGAGGAAGAAGCCAAAAAAAAGGAAGAACAAAAGCAGCAGGAGTTGAAAAACGAAGAGCGTCTTTTGAGTGCCATGAAAGTAGGTGACAGATGCGAAGTGATTGTTCCTGGAAATCCAAAGCGTAGAGCAACTGTGATGTACATTGGAAAGACAGATTTCAAAAGCGGATGGTGGGTTGGAGTCAAGTATGATGAGCCATTTGGCAAGAATGACGGATCAGTGGCTGGCAAAAAGTACTTTGAGTGTTTTGATAAGTATGGAGGATTTGTTAAGCCAACATGTGTTGTGGTAGGCGATTTTCCTGAAGAGAGTATTGATTTGGACGAAGAATTGTGAGAATTCCCAGGATAATTTTTTTTTTTCCCCAATTGTATTTATATCATTCTTTTTGGCAAACTATATGATTAGCAATTGCAAAATTGATGTATGAATGTAACAAAGGTTTTATATAAATAAACTTCTCAATTTTTTTATACAAGTTCTTTAAATAATAGTTACCCATGTTTATCAATAAATAGCGGATTATAGGATGTGTCCACAGAATTTAGTGATATACTGTTGTTTTTAATTCGATCAAATAAGTATATGATTTCATATGTGAATCAATTAAACTAATATTCCTAACCATGAGTGTCTTAAAAAAAATAATAAAAAGGTATTTATCAAAATTGACGCATCGATTCCGTTCGTACGAAGTACACTTCTTTTTGATGGCTTCGAAGGTTCCAACATTTGAAACATTTGTTGGCCCTGAAAAGGGCCGATTTTATACATGCTTAAGCATGTTTATTTAGAGCTGGTGTATTTCGTCACGGCTTTAGTGCCTTCGGAGACGGCGTGTTTGGCAAGTTCACCAGGAAGTAGGAGCCGAACAGCCGTTTGGATCTCCCGAGAGGTAATGGTCGATCTCTTGTTGTAGTGGACCAGGCGAGAAGCTTCGGCAGCTATGCGCTCGAAGATGTCGTTCACGAAGCTGTTCATTATCGACATGGCCTTGGAGGAGACTCCAGTGTCCGGGTGCACCTGCTTCAGGACCTTATAAATGTACATGCCGTAGCTCTCCTTCCTCTTCTTGGAGCGCTTTTTCTTGTCTACCTTGACGATGGTTTTCACAGCCTTGTCGCTTTTTTTCTCAACTTTGGGAGCTTTGGGTGCCATGGCTAGTCAATTACCTGATGAATGCGATCGTACGATATGACTATCAACCGGGGACTGAATATGATGGGTATTTTTTTTTCATCCCAAGATTTCATTCTCAGCAGCTACTCCGAACCAATCAGAGCGTACATGACCATTCTCTCCCCCCTCTACATCCGACTTTACTGTCATTGGTTCGGAGTAGCTACGGTAGGGCACGACGCACGACCGAAAAAAATTGCCATCTTCAATTCAGTAACATCTTGACTCTTGGCGAATAAAGTTGTACCGTTTAAATCTTCAAGATGACTGGATCTGGACGCGGAAAAGGTGGTGCGGGTAAGGCCAGGGCGAAGCCAAAGTCGCGCTCTTCTCGAGCTGGACTCCAGTTCCCGGTTGGTCGCATCCAGCGACATTTGAGGAAAGGCAACTATGCCGAGCGAGTAGGTGCTGGTGCCCCGGTATACTTGGCCGCCGTTCTCGAGTACTTGTCCGCCGAAGTCCTGGAGTTGGCAGGCAATGCAGCTCGTGACAACAAAAAGACGAGGATCATTCCTCGTCATCTTCAGCTGGCCATCCGCAACGACGAGGAACTGAACAAGCTGCTCGCCAACGTCACGGTTACTCAAGGAGGTGTTCTGCCCAACATACAAGCTGTCTTGTTGCCCAAGAAAACAGGAAAGAAAGATTCCGCTGAATAAAATCGAAAACCTACATCGGCCCTTTTCAGGGCCAACAATTTGATCTCTACGTGGACAGCATTCTAATTCACAAGTGAGCTGTATACACTGCTCTGCATGTTGCATCATCTACATCTATATGTATACTTAATTACAAAAAAAAAAAAATCTATGTGTATATAATCGCCCTGAGCCTCAAAATTTAACGCGTACAGTTGAGCTACACAAACGCAATGAGCGAAGATGAAAATCAGTTTTAACTTGGCTATGGTGAGAGACGCGCGGGACTGTTAATTCGGTACGTTATCTATACATAAACCAATGAACCGATTCAATCGCAATTCGTTAGCTAATCTAACCTACATAGTTGTTTCCGATCATACCAAATGTATTGATACAATAAACAAATACCGTTTTGGTAGTAGGTCAAAATCAAGTGCAGTACGTGAACGTGATATCCTGATGGACGTGGACGCAAATCTCAGTCGAACCGTGAAATCGGAGCTTCGACAAGTCGTGGATGAAAGTTTGTCCTCGGTAATGCCGAGCGTGTTGATCAAGAAAAACGTCCGCTACGACGGGAGCAATTTAATAGTCAACGGTCTGCCCTACCCTCTCAATGACGATGTTCACATAGTGGGCTTCGGAAAAGCGGTCGGGGGTATGGCTTACATGTTGGCTGATCTGCTGGGTCCAAGACTCAAGGGCGGCATCCTCTCGGTGCCAGAGTTGATGAGCTCTGAACCAAAAGTGCAGCCCGAGACTGACAAAGGCTTGGCTGAATTCCCTGAAATAAGGGAACAGGAGATCCAGCAGTTGCAAATGCTCAAGAGATCGAAAATTATCGAGTACCGGGAAGGTGCGAAAAATAACCAGCCGGATCATGCCTCGTATTCCAGTACAAAGCACATTATAAAGTATGTGCAAAATTTGGGGAAAAAAGATACGCTCGTGTTGCTGATATCAGGTGGTGGATCTGCTTTGCTTTTTGCTCCAAAACCACCCATGACGTTTGAAGAAAAGCGAGATCTTTGTAAGCGTCTACAAAATTCTGGAGCTAGTATTGGTGAGTTGAACGTTGTGAGAAAGCAAATGTCGAGGGTTAAAGGTGGTGGATTGGCCCTAATGGCTTATCCTGCCAAGGTGCTGGCACTTATTTTGTCGGATGTTGTTGGTGACCATCTGGAAATTATTGCGAGTGGCCCAACATGTCCTACCCCTGAAGGTAATAAAATAATTTAGTTAGCTTTTGTTATTAATTTTGCTTTATGCAATGAGTACACATTAAGTTTTACGCTCTTTTTAAATAGGTAACACGTAAGTGTGTTATTCCAAAGAATTTTCTATTTTAGGCAACAGAGTTGAATCAATAAACATTTTGAAAAGGTACAATCTCTATCACACTTTGTCCGAGGAAGTGAGAAGAGAAATTTTTGAGAAAGTATATTGCTTAGACACTTCCTTGATATCTAATGGTAAATTCAACTTTGTGGAAAATATTATAATTGGGAACAATGAAAGTGCGCTTGAAGCTTCAGCAAAAGCTGCACAAAAATTAGATCTGGAAGGAGTAATTTTGTCAAACAAGGTTGAAGGAAATGTTAAAGATGTCAGTGTTGCCTATGCCCAGTTAGCTGAAAGCATTTGTCATGCTTTGGACAAAGGTTTTTCCAATAAAGAGGATTTCATTGCCGAAATTTCGAAACACGATGTTAGTGTTTTAAACCTCAACAAAGAGAAACTCGAAAAAGCTTATGAAGCTTTCACATCACTGAGAGAAGGAAAAGGCGTTTTGTTGTTGATTGGAGGTGAGCCTACTGTTGTTGTTGAAGGAGATGGCAAAGGTGGTCGAAATCAAGAATTGGCCCTACAATTTTCCCTCGACTGGCTCAGTCAAATTGCTAAAAAACCAGAATTGTCCCGATACTTTGTTGAATTTTTGAGTATTGCTACCGATGGACAAGATGGTCCGACTGATGCTGCTGGCGCCTTTGGGAAACCTGGAATTAGTCCCAAGATGAAACTGCTGATGCAAGATTTAAAAGACGAAAAAAAAAAAACATTTGATACCAAAAAATTACAGGCAATAGATAAAAAAATTCAGGAAGTTACATCAATGTTACCAGAGAATGTTTTGCAAAGAAATGACACGTACAGCTTTTATTCCAAATTTGAAAATGGCAAAAATCATTTGATAACTGGCCCTACTGGTACAAATGTAATGGATCTTAACTACATTTATTTGCGAAAGAGAGATTGCGATTGTGACATCCCTGGAGTAATCAAAATCAATACACCAGTAGAAGTTAATAATTTTTTATTTGATCAGTCTGAAGAGGGCTGTGAAAAAGACGAGTAATACAAGAGCCCAAATAATATATATTTTCGTACCTTCATTGTTATAAAGTATTTACAATATTTTTTAATAAATTATTCTTTGATTATATTTATATATATTTTTTCGTATGAGTAGTATACATAAATTTGTTTACAAATTGAAAACTGTTGAACGCACTTTGATCTTTTTACTCTTTTGCGGCATCATTTTGTTTAACGCTAAATGTAATAATACATACTGATCGTGTGTCTCTAGTCGTCAAGTTTATCTTGTTATTAAAATATTTCACAGGACGGACACAAGGCTCGGAAGAAAGAAATTTGCTTAATATTGATTGCAATTCTTTCAACAAGTCTTTAAAAAAATTTTTTTGTAACTATAACACGCACACTATTACAACGAAATATTCAGAATAACAAATGAAAAAGATATACTTTTAATTTACAGTAATTCAACTATTGTCTAATGTGATTAACAGGTACTTGAATAAATTCATGAAAGTCCTATTTTTCATAGGAATCAGGTAGGAAAAATGTTAAAATCCTATTCATTTTTTTCAACATTCACAATCTGTATAAAAATCTACAGTAAGTCTATAATATTGCACATAAATTTTTTACAAACACAATTTCAATCACAAAACTCTTAATATGTAGGTTAATAAAATCAAAGCTCCACCATAAACTAATAAACCTAAAATATTTTAATTCAATAAAAAATTTGGTCAATTTAAATGGATGTATAAACAAGCTATATATTATCGTATGCATTGAATTACCACGCAAAACTATTAAAAAATTAGATTTTTAATTTAAACGTAAAGTATACTTGGGAATAATTTCCTTAGTACATACTTAAGTTTGATTAAAAAAAAAAATTAAGAATCTGAAATATAATGACCATTTTTACAGATCCCAACTGAAAAGGTGATGCTTTACAAGCATATCGCGTACTCCATCTTTTAGCGGCTGTGATTGTTCTTTCTTCGGAGGAAGCTCCCAATCTGGGTTTAAATTAAATGCAAATTGACTTAATGTGCGAAGTTCACATTTGATCTGTACCCAGCCTGGGCTATTTACAAAACTCCAAGGATGATACCTATCGAAGAATTTCAATTTTATTAGAAATACATCGTGTAAATGTGATATTTGACGATAATATACTTTACAATTTTCATACCACTTTTGTACAACTTCGATACAAGAGCACAGTACTTCTAGCCACAAATGCAAAACTTGCTCATTTAGTCCCAGACAAATGAGAGATCGAAGTTTAACATCCATTTGCGCATGTGCATTGTCATGTGTTAAATTAATAGATTGAACACAGCGATACAAAAGCTGAGATAAATTAAATAAATACATTAAATATGATTTAATTAAAATTTTAAGCTTGATATTCTTTCGCTATTTACCTCTTCTGGGGTGAGAACTTTGCCATCTTCATCTAATCGATATGTTTTGCAAAGAATAAGTCTACTGTAAACTGAATTAAAGTCTTTTTCAACCTCTCGATTCGAGGCCTCTTCGATGAAAAGCCATGGATGGCATGGACCTCCTAAAAATGAAGGCCTTTTCATTCCCTGTTCAAGGACTGCTTTTACAGCTGGACATAGTCCACCACGAACAAGATCCGTAACTGCTTCGCTCACCGCATCATCACCAACGCAGGTATACTGCTTACTTCTTTCGTCGAGAAGTTCCACAAATTTTGCTGGAAACCACCCTTTTAAACAGGATATATATGCGGTCACTTATAAAACTATGTACGTTGCGTTACATTTCAAAAATAGCGTCATACCTCTGAGTCCGTTCAATTCGCCAACCCAGCAATGCTCGTCTTTTTGACTGATAATGGTGATGATGTCATTTTTTCTGAAACCAAGTTCATCATCGTCGTGTCGTTCAAAATCTAAAACAAAAGTTACGATTTAGTTACATTAAGTATTCATTCAATTTTCATGTGCAGAAGAGTATTCATTTTTACCAAGTAACGCCTTTGCACGCCGTTTTCGTGTTCGCGAGACATTAATGTAATTATCATGATCCTTTGCATGACTTTCCATACTATAATCTGCAGTCAATGATATGTTACTGTATTTAGGATCAAGATTAATGAAATGTCTTGAAACTTGAAGAACAGATTCTCTGAGATCAACTAAAATTTCTGGCGAATGTAAGAAAATTTTTTTAATTTACGAATATTAGTCCAAGCAAAAGAATTATAAAGCTCAACTAAAATTACCGGTTTGTCTAATATTTTTACATTTTATATCGTCTTCAGTCTCGTCGCTCCCAAACAAAAACGATTGTAGCATAGATTTACTTCGTTTCAGTTGCCTTCTATACAAATTTAATCAAAATTTTAGATTACATTTTTACGCAAAATAGTCGAATGCATTCAACGAATTAATCATCTATCAACTGACCTGTTTAGATGCTGTTTAGGTAAATTCGGAACGGCTTCAGGATTACCGACTAGGCCGCCCTGATCTACCATTAAATACGCCAAATGCCGCCTTCGATGCGTCTCCACAAGAGCATTTGTTAACGTTTTACTAACTTTAAATGAAATATCTAAAAGTTGGTCCACATCAATGATATCGCCAGGAATGTCTGATAAGGCGTTAAATATTTGCGCCGAATTTTCCAAATCCTTTAACTCTGTCTCTGTCATTTATAAATCTCTTTTATTACATTATAACTTGATTATATTGTCAACTAGATTTTTTTCTAAGCTCACCTTTTATTTTTAACATTCCCAAAGTAATTTGAAATAGTACAATTGATCCATCACAGAGAAATAGATCCCAGAGTCTCAATAAAATTTTCATGTGAACAACAGAGGCAAATAACGTCAAAAACCAATTTAGTGTTATCAAACTAAGCTCGATATCGTGTTGGGTAAGTATTTGATCAATGTTGGGGAGGTAATTCGTGATTAAAGATCTCAAAACGCGTTGATCAGCTTGAATGCCTGAAACACCACAGAGTTATAGGCATAAACTTTAAATCTATAATTTTGAAAAACAAAGCATACGTACCTATCAGAGTCGATGAATAGTATGAAGCTGGTAGTAAGTCTTCAACGATTGTAGCCAGCATCCAAAATGCGTCTTCTTCCTCAAGAAGCAAAAGAAGTGAGGCGGCTATGAAGCCAGTTCCTTGACAGTACCTATGTAAAACAATATGTGGCATACAAAAACTTATTCTTATCTTCAAGATAAGCAGAGGATTTTTGTTCAAGACATTTACCCAATATCCGGATATAACCAGGCAAGACCTCGAAGAACGCGTCTTAATCTAGGAATTCCAGTGCTATGTAAATTATTGAAGCAAGCATTTGTCGGCATCGTTCTTAGCAAGTCTTTTTCTATTTGTTTGCTGGTCATTAAAGCATCACTACTAGAGGCTTTTACAATGTCTCTGTACGTCGTCTCCGATGTGACCTTCTTTTGCAAAGCTCCCGACATTCTCATCCATACTTGTGGCCTCAGAGAATGTGGAATTCCTTGATGGACCATTTCTCGGAGTTTTTCAGTGCGAGTCAAGGTATTTTCAACTTGCTGCCATGTGAATTCCGAAACATCCTTGTTATGATTGAATTCCAGTACTGATACCCACTGAAGTCTATGCAAAATATTCAGTTTTTTGTTTAAAACGTTTCAAGTTTAATTATAATTACATAAATATTATAAATCACCTCTGTTGAGGATCTTCCGCAAGTGTAATATTGATGAGTTTCTTTGCATTTTGGTCTGCAGCATCTTCTTCGTCTACTTTGAAACCAAATTCGTCAAATTTGTATTCATCTGTTGGATTATCTGGATTGCTGGGCTGATTAAGTTTGGCCAGCATATCCTGTGGCCACATAGAAGGGGTTAAGGCTGAAAAAGCACCTCCTGGTGTCGGTGATAGCGCTTCTTCACCGTTGAGCCCATTGCTGTCAATATCAAACTCATCATCGGAGACAGCTGTTTCTAAGTTTTTCTGAAACACATAATTATGTAATTTCAACGTCAATAAAATTTAATCATAGAGCACTATTGCAAAGTATATTCCACATTCTCAACAAAAAATATGTGACAAACTAAACATTAAGTTATTTCCTAAAAATTAAATGATTTACAATGGAACTTGAGATAAACTCATTCTTTCAACATCAAAAGGATTATGTATTAAAATCAAACTACAGTAGAAAGTTAAACATTCAGCATCAAGGTGAGTAATACGTCATTTTGTCAACGTTCATTATTTCTCTCAATTGTCGATTAAAATAAGAGTTACATCTGAATAGCGAAAAAATTACAAAATTTAAACAGTTCACTACAAGAATAAGCCTTAAGATAAGAGTAAAACGTCATCGAAACACAAGGAAATCTCGAAAAATATTTACATTGTGGTCGTCTTTGCCAACATAACCATCGTGATCACGCACATTGAATAACGATTTGGCGATATCCATCCTACATTTACAATAAGGCTCAATAAACGGATTAACTTGAATCACTTGGTTTCTACATGTTGTCTGATAACGTGGGAAAATTTAATTTATCAACGAAATTATCAGAACTATTAAGTATGTCGCAATGGTGCTATGGTAATGTTGACAGACTGTCGGTAGCGTATACGCTACTATACTTATATAGTAGCAGACTATATACCTAAGTATGTATATGTAGAACGTAGGGCACGACGCACGACCGAAAAAAATTGCCATCTTCAATTCAGTAACATCTTGACTCTTGGCGAATAAAGTTGTACCGTTTAAATCTTCAAGATGACTGGATCTGGACGCGGAAAAGGTGGTGCGGGTAAGGCCAGGGCGAAGCCAAAGTCGCGCTCTTCTCGAGCTGGACTCCAGTTCCCGGTTGGTCGCATCCAGCGACATTTGAGGAAAGGCAACTATGCCGAGCGAGTAGGTGCTGGTGCCCCGGTATACTTGGCCGCCGTTCTCGAGTACTTGTCCGCCGAAGTCCTGGAGTTGGCAGGCAATGCAGCTCGTGACAACAAAAAGACNAATCAAAGCACATTTATCGAAATTATGTTTGGATTTAAAAAAAGTAAATGGAATATTTGTATTTTTACCTAGTAAGTGTTGGGACGCATGAGAAAAAATAAATCTTACGCTTGTATCCATGTTTTCCCTTTTTTAAATTTCGCGCCTCAAATATGGCGACATACTAATTAATAGAGTACATTCTCCAGGAGTTACCTCCCCCTCTGCCGTCCGCCATTTTCAGTCGATACAGTGCGCGCGCGGCATGAGTCAAAGTCAAACTCAGTTCATTCTCTTTTGATAATGTTTACTTGATCAAAATCTTAATAAATATATGAAAAAATATTCAATTTAATGAGTAACAAAAGTGACCGACTTTAAAATTCAACTTAAAAAACATGGATTTTAGTTGAGGCAAGACAAAAAATGTGCTTGGTTTGAATCTTGCTGCGCACTGTTTGACTCAAAATGGTGGACACATTTATTTTTGGGTTTGGGCGCGCTAGCGCCACCAACGGCTAAAGCTTGTACTAAAAATTCATGCAACAACAAAACACACAGGAGAAAATAAATATGTGTGTGAAACGATGAAATGGTTTTATATCGTTATATGGAGAATCGAGAGCGAGAGAGAAAGAGAGTAGTTCTGCGGGCGAAGATGTGTGTGTGTATGTGATGCGGCGGCGTTCTAAAATAGTTGTGCCCGCAGAACTCTTGAGGGAAGCATCATCATCGAGCTTCTAGGTTCCACGTAAGTGGCGGCACTGCGTCGGAAGCGCTCGCTTGGGTGTGACTTTTACGATGCTCACCTCGTCTGCCGTCGCTCGGCGGTCTGACCGAAAAAAGAAGCTCACGGACGGCTTCGCGGTACCGGGGTTCATTACCTGTGTCTAACGCTTAAATAATAAATGTGTTGTTTTCGTGCGCGCTTGTGAGTTGTGTAGTGTCGTGTGACGACTGTGTAATCATACAAAGCTCCTCTAATCGTGTACACACACGTTTGACTCGTGGAGGCGGAGACGAGAAGGAAACAAATTAGTGCCAAGCCTCTAAGCACGCTGCTGCTGGTACACGACTTGCTCGTGCACCTCATGCCGAGAAGGTACCTATACATACAATAACCGCTGGCTGGTACCTACCTCTGCTGGAGTTGTTGGGTTGAACATGTAACAGCTATTGGAACTTGGAACCCCGCGCGCGAATCCGCAAGGAGGTGCGTCGTCGTCGCGCTCTCTCTCTCTTCGCTCAAGTGTGTGTGTAATACATGTTACGTAGCTGCAAAAGTATGCGTGTGCGCGTGTGTGTGTGTGTGTGCGTAAGTAATATACCACCACAGTCTCGCACATTATAACATATATTATTGTATACTCGAATTTGCCTTGCGGCTTGCGACGTGTACGCTTTTATTGTTTTTATACTAGTATTGTCGACGTCGATACGCGTAAGAACAAGATATATTACGGGGAGAGGGTAAGGGGAAAAAAGACCGATAGTAATTAAAGAGCTAAATGCCTGTACATACACATATATATGTAGATAACAATTCTAAGTAGATACTACGATTGTTTTTTTTTTTTTTTTTTTTTTTTTTTTTTTTCCCTCTTTCTGCTCACACCGGTAAGGTGTGCTTTTAGCGCAAGGTGGTGTGCCCCGCCGCTGCACACGCCGGATGACGATGACTACGAGACGCTCTTTTTTTTTTCCCAAAAAACCGGAAGAAGCGTTATATAGCAAAGAGGAAACCCTTGGCCTATCTTGCGTGGTGTATTGATAATTGTACGTGTGTGGGTTATCCATGTATCGTAGCGCATTGCCTATTACGAGAAAATAGCACGCACGTAGGGAGTAGAGCTTACAGTTGAGTATGTGCTGTGTGCCATGTACAATATAAGCAACAGCAGCGGGTCAGAGCAGTGTGTAGAGAGTGAACGCGCCATTGTGCCGTCAACTATCCGGTAGTTAAAGAGAGACGGTGCTAGTACGGACCACGGAGCGGCCCTCGTTGTTGGCTCGTTCTTTTTCATGGAGAGATGCCCCCCTGTATGTAATACCTTGGAGAGCAATTTTCTCATCTCTCTTTCGCACTCGTGCGTGCCGTGTATGAAATTTTTTTTTTTTTTTTTTGTTGTTTCGGCAGTCGTATACACGCTATTGCTCACAACTTTTCCTTCGACAATTCGTCCGCGTAATAATGAATTACACACAGCGTCGCCATCGGAACGTTCGTACGTATCTATGTGAATTTTAAAACCTGGTGATGCTTGGTTCTGTATTTTACAATGGCCTGAAAGCGCGAGGGGAAGCGGTAGAGAGAGAGAGAGAAAAGAGAGCCGCACACGCGCGCCGGACGGCATCGATTTGACGCGCGCGGGCGGATGCTTGCTAGGTCTACATGATACTTACTGTGTATACCAATGCCCGGGTATACCCTTTGCGAGAGTGGTGTGTTGTGGCTTGCAAGCAGTAAACCTACCCCTTTGTGTACATCTCTAACGCCCGTCGTCACCGTAGTCGTTTGCAATGGTATTGCGCCTTGTCCATTAAGAAAAAAAAAAGCCTCGGCGGAGAGACACGATGGTAGGGATCCGTTCTTGTGGAAGAGGTAGCTCTGGGTGGCTCATGTCTTGCGCGTCATTATGCAACAGCAGTTAAGGCTTAACGCGTACCCGCTGCCTCGGCTGGTACAGTATCTCTTTGCACGGGTATTATACCTATATATACGTGGTTTTTCCGTCTGTGCCTCTGTATGAGTGTGTGTAAGCGCGTGTGTGTACGGTTCTCTGTTCTCTCTTCTTTCTTCCTTCGCTGCTGATGCCTCATCGTTTCTCTCCCGTTCTCTCTTTATTCCGTTCTGCTGATCTGTACCTTTGAGTATATGTATATACCTGTATATGTACTGCCTCGTGTGTTACACACTGCTCCGAAAGGTTCGTTTATTCGTTTTCCTTGTTTTTATCTTCCCTGTCTCGCGTTTATGTGCGAGATTTTTTTCCCCGAGTGTTTTTTCGTTTCCTAGCAAATTTAATATCGTTAATAACAAGTAGCGGTCTGAAAACTTATTGTAAGTAGGTAGTGTGTTATTAAAAAAAAAAAAAAAAAAAAAAAAACGTGTTCATGTAGTGCCGCGTGACGAGCGTATAAAAAGGCAGGTGTGCCGTGTTGACTGTTACAAAAGGTGCGCGCATCGACCGGACGAAGCGAGGAAATCGACGGGTTGGTTACCTACATGTCTAATTACAGAGAAAAAGAGCTCGCGTGTGAGCATGGTGTACTTATACGATATACATGTAAAAACTCTTCTCGAGGATTTTTTTTTTTTTATTGTCAAGACCTAAAACAAAAATTTACAAACAAAAAAAGAAGGATCACAATTTTTATCCTCCATGAGATCGCTCTTGTATAGCAGTGTTACGTGATTTTGATACTTGATAGATAGATGCATCACTATGATAGCGGTGTAAGTATAAGTTTAGGCTGGAAAATATTAGTGGGATTTCGCGGGACGAAGTATTTGAAAACAATAAGGGTCGAAAGACACGCCTCGGTTTACACTATTTGTGTTCTATTCGCTTGATGATCAAAATGCTTTTTGATTACTGTATTACGAACAAAATTTAAAATCAAATTTTATCATGTACGCGCATGTACAGTATTCACAATTCTTGTGCTTTGCGTTGCTACTCCTCTTTTTAATTTTAATTGCGTACACGCGTGTCTTAATGATGCAATTTTCACCAAGTGTTGTAATCCATTGCTAGCAGATTTTCGTTTTTTTAACGTATGTAACCTGCACGTAAATTTTCTTTTTGGTTAGCGTAGCAAATGTAGCTATTCCAATATTTGTAATTTGTGTGGTGAGTTAATTGCATATTTTCGAGAGTAAGTGCGATGCGCTCTTTCATCCGTAAAATTCAATGAAATAGTACTTATAGCACTAATTCGTTACCGTTATCGTACCGTTTTTGCATGCACTGAACGGTAGCTATAGTTATAGCACATTTCCATGTGTATTTTACTCGCAAGGATGGATAAACATTTACTCTTATATTTAAAATTTTACTTTTAAACCAGTAGCCCAGCAAAAAGGATCGTGCCCATAATATGTGCATTCGTATACATAATATGTTATGTTTCTTATCTTTTATTTCATTATCGCGAGAGACTGTTAGTCATTATAACATTACAGGTCTAAAAACTTGCTTTGTGCTTTTTGTTATTGTCAAAAACTCCTTGAACTAATTATAGTCCTTGTTGTATGCTATTTTTCAAGTTCAGCTGAAAATTTTTTTTTTTTTTCAACACATACGGTATTTAAAAGTCGAGGTTATAAATGCATGTATAATTTTTTCAATACGGATTTCCTTTTCAATAATCATTTATCGTGAGCATCATTTTCACAGGCACATAAGAGCCTCTCAGCGAAAATAACCTGTCAAGTGATTGTAAACCCAGTGACTTTTAGTCCAAACAAATGCTTATTTGCTTATTTCTTCTTTTGGATAGAATTAAAGTTGTAAATGAAATATTAAAATCACCGCGTTGAAAAAAAAAACTAGAACAAAGTAACATGATTAACAACCCCAGCATGTATAGTTACTTTATCACGTGGCTTAAAAAAACTCTTGTGTTAAAAACAAAAATAATATATTCATTACTCTTTTTTTTTTTTTTTTTTTTTTTTTTTTTATTATTTAGCCGATGACCAATACGTGTTCAACTTTCATAGATACCACCTACATGTTTAATAATTTCTAAGCGGTATAATGAAAGGTGTGTATCTACGCATATTGCTGTATTCGCGAATATATACATGTATACCGGTGATCCGGCGATGTTATCACGTGTGCGCGAGTGTGTCGGCACTTTTTTTGTCTGCTGCTCTCCTCCCTCCCTCGTTTACTGCGCCCACAATCGATGGTTCCTCTTGCCGTCTGCTGCTATATTTTCTCCCTTTCTTTTATTTTTACATACATAGCAGTCGTTTTTTTGTTTTTCATTTTTTTTTTTTTTTTTTTCCCTTTCGTATGATACGAATTGCATAAAGAAAAAAAGCGCGTGCGTGTCAATATTACACCAATAGCGCATGTGTACCCACCTCGGGTACGTAAAACGTTAATTGTATTGCGATAGAGTGACTGATAGCATACTTAGCGTAAACGCCGACATCTCCTCTGACACCGGCGACTACCGTAATATTTTGTAGTTATGTCGTACTATTACTCGTATTTATTTGTTTTTTGGCTTCTGTTCTGATCCAAAGATTGCTGAATATCGGAGAGAGCAGCATCACCAACACGAGGCAGACTTGCAGTTTGCTAAATAACAGAGGCTATAATATACATACAGTTACACTCTAAAATCAGAAGATACTGTAGGACTACTAATTACTGCTACCACTACTAGTATGGAGGATGGGCATAAGAGCATGTAAGGTTTCACCACTAACTTATCCAAGGGTTGAACGAGCCAACACTGTGATTTCATACAAATTTTAGAGGTGAGTTGCATTACTGTTATTACTTGAACATTTATTTCTTTATTGTCTTTTGTATTGTTCATTTTTCATTTTTAAAAATAATGCTAATATCTCTATTACTTGTCATTAATTGTATATACAGTATTTTTTGTGCATCAGAGCTCACTATTGGGCTCACATATTATATAATTTATGACCATCTTTCAAATCTTTGACTAAAGATAACAATCGAAATAATTGTTTACCTCGATATCACGATAACTGAGACTTAATCGCAGAAAAGCAACTCTTTAGTCATAATAACTCGGCTGAACATTATTATTAAAAAAAAAAAAAAAAAAAAATGCAACTTAGTCAGCTTTTCAATCAATTTTAATGAAACATGAAATTACTTGCTATACTTATACCTTAGCTCTCCCTCCGGTACTAAAGTCTTCCTCATTCCTTTTTGCAGATAAGTTTTTTCAAGAGAGCCCACAAACTACGTGCGAGTCAAGTTCCGTATTTCTACGTTTGCAAATAGAAGGCAACGTGTAGCATAAGAAAATAGATATCAGCTTGCTTGGAGCACACGTTGGTAGCGCTTTATCGTCGAGACCCAAGCAAGAAGAGATAACCAACCTACACGTAAAAATAAAACAGTACAGTAAAACAACGCACGAGGCTGTCGTGTCAAAGAAAAGAGAGCTACGATTTTTGATAAAGACACGCAAAAAACAAGTAGGCGGCAGGTAGTTTGACAACAGTGAGAGTAGCAAATTACAATCAGTCCCTGCATAGTGAGTGAAGGAGAGTTATGGTGCATGAGAGCCGTACCAAGGGAACAATGGATGAATGGGATTGAGTTCAAATTAGATGGTGGCAGCTCTGGGAAGGAGGAGCAGCAGCAGCAGTGTCAAACAGAGTGGAGGAGAAGAAGTAGTAGGCAGAGAAGGTGAGATAGAAGGACGGCATCAGCAGCAGGAGGAGCAGCAACAGCTGCAACGCAGCAGTAGCTGCGTGGCAGCAGCGGCGGCTGAGCAACAGCGGCCCTCCTGGTGGCTGGATGTCGAGGCGTCAGCGCTGGCTGTGGCGACGACGTCAGTGGCAGTGATGGCCCCTGCTCTGACGGAAGGCGGACCTCAGAAGCCTGAGAATTTGCTCCCAGCGCTGCCGGCCGGCGGCTTTCTCACCGCCGAGCAGGCCAAGCAGGTTTGTCTCAGTGCATCAGTGCATCCCTCGAAAGCGTCGAATGCGAACGATAAACCTACAGTAAGATTCTTGTTGCAAACGTTTAATTGTCTGTTTGTTTTTTAAAGTCTCGCGTGACTACGTTTAGTGAGAGTCGTGGCATTGTTCTGAAGTTAACACAATTATTATGCTGTTTCATTTTTTCATAATTGTTTTTACTAAAATCGAACGATGCCTCTTGAATGTTGTGGCCATCACAATAGTGTATAAGTAAATATTGTAGTTTTAGGCAACCATTTTCACATCCTCATTTTTTTTACGAGCCGATGTGTATTAAAACATCAATGAGTAAAGCTCATGTTAATTAGCATAATTTACTTCAAGAAAGTCCAAAACTACAAATTGGTTTTAACAAACAACTTTTATTTGATATTGTTGAAGTATTAAAAATAATTTTGAAAAACTTGTTTGTGCATTACTGTAATGTTTGTATTATGTAATAATTTAATGCCATTAAGCATTTGTAATCGAAACATTGTTGATTCATTGCGTACAGGTTCGTAAAAACCGCGAGGTCCTGGCCCAGTTTGTCGTTTCTGCCAACGTCCAGCCATCAAAAATTGACGAACAGTGTTTACAAGGAATTCCCAAGAATCTGATTGACGATGTCATTAATTTCAAGTTCGGCAGCAGTCTCGACGGTTTGTCCGACCTGATTGCTGTCGGCACGTCGAGGAAAGAGTCGGCGGCGGTGGCACGCGAGGTGGCCAACGGCGCTGACGCTATAATGAGCGACATATCTATGGGCGATGACGATCCAGTGGATATGTGTTACTTCAGAACAGACATGGGACCCAGTGGTATTGAGCAAGACGAAACATGCGGGATCACCAATTCTGCTGAGGACGTCATTAACGCGCCCCAAGTAGATGATGACGATTTAGTAGCCGTAAACGATACCTCCGTTACCGATGAAGATAGACAAATTGCTGAGGATATCATGGGTTTCACCGCGGGTATAAATGTACAGGCCGATGATCTCTTGCGGGTAATGTGATTGGTTTTTGTAACATGTTCTTTCGTATATGCCATGTTTTTTTTTGTTTTTGTTTTTTTAATACAATTATTTACTTGTAGGGGATCATGTCGCTAAACAATGTGTCATCGGAAGAAATGTTGAGCGGTGACAGCCGCTTGATCGACGGCTGTGGCGGTTTAATGGAAAACGTTATTCCGTCTCAATCGACGTCCGACGAAGTGCCAGAAATATTTTCAGACAGCGAGGCATTCAACTTGGCAAATCTAAACTTGCTAAATGACGTCGATGTGATGGGCCTTATGGGAAACGACAACATGTCCGAAAACGGCGTGGTCGTCGACCAGCACCATAATCAGCAACAGCAACTACTGCTGCAAGCGCATCAGTTACAGCAACAAGAAACTACAAAACTCGCAGAGCTCACGAAGCATCGGGTGGAAATCGAAAGGCGACAGCACGAACTCGAGCGCAGAGTTGCGTATCTGTTTCGCCGGCTGCGCAAGTTCCAGTCTCAGCTAGTGGGTCGGCACGCTGCTGAGGAAGCTGGACAAGTGCTCGAGCTGGCCCAGAAAAGCGCTAAAAAGTTTCTCCATCAAGATCTTGCCAGCCTTGGGCAGAGAGCGGGTGGTAACGCTCGTAACTTTCCTGAAATTGTGGGCAACATTAGTTCCTTTCTTCAAAAAGTGCAGAAGAGCTGTAATGCCCAGAGTAATAGTGTTGCCGTCCGAAACAGAAACTTGTGTCGTTATTTTGGTGCCGGCTCGAGGGACAATTACGTGAATCTGAACGTAAATCGGATGCCTGCGTTTGGTGTGCCGCAAATTAGAATAGATGGCGTGAAATTGGAACAAGTTGCTGGACCATTGGCTACCAAGCTAAAAATTGTGCAGGATGCCTACGACTCGGATTGTACGGCGTCAAGTAGTGGCGGCGAAAGCTGTGATGAAATGCAGACTTTTAACAATCCGCATCAGCAACAGTTACCAATGTGAGTGTGTCCGACGTACTGTTTTATCGGTTTTTTTTTTTTTTCCTATCGAGGTGATAGCGCCGCTAGAACGACAATCATTATTTATACGTTTTGTGTAACGCATGTGCTGTGCATCCTATGTAAAAGCATTGAATTTTGTAAAACTTTGTATTCGGTCCTATTCAGCGTACTAGACAACAAATCAAATTTCAGAGTGATTGGCGTACATGAAAATTGTTAACTGTTTTGTTCTTTTCAAAGTTTTCTAAATTTTGATGCATTTATGTTTAAATATAATGTTGCCCAGTTGATTAAAAAAAAAAAAAAGAGTGCAATTTTATTAAACATCCAATTTAATCAATCAACGTACCTTTATTCAAGCTGAATAACTTGAATCTCTTACGTCATATTAGTATGTACTTCAGTCATAATATTTCAACAGTCATAAAAATTGTTAATCAACTTTAAATAATTTATAGTTTCATAATTCATTAATTCATATTGCCTAATATACTAAGATTTTTATGCTTTATCAATGTATGCACAGTATTTTACTTGCTTTCATCAAATATGCGTGCGGAATAAAGATCGAAATACTTCACTTTGCTCGATCTTTTTTCAGTTAAATAATTGGATATGATTACATGCAGGTAAAATATTGCTCAAATCAAGTATAAATGTTTTTTGCACATTTTTGAGTTATTGCTTACAAATTTTTATTCATCTATAGTTTTATGTAATTACAGTAGTATACTTGAATTACAGAAGACATTTTATTTTAAATCCTTACACATTTTCTGCATGAAATCCCAGTAGTTATTGCATCATCTTCCTTATTCATGCCTCATTCTTTTACTTTCGTTGTGTTTTCATGGTGTAATAACATAATCTTTTTCCTGTAACATTGCAATATAAAATTTTATCTTTTAACTGCAGTCTCAAAACACCTAATAATATTGATAATAATAACCTATCAATACATAAATTGTCTATCGCACGAATGACGTGCTGCTTATGTCACTTCGTTAATATGTTGAGAAAGGCTACGTGCCTCTAGTGTCGCGCACAACTGGTAAATATCACAACACATGAATCAATCGATTATTGATTTATTTTCCGTAAAAATAATACAACTCATCGAATGGTTTCTCAATCTTTACAAGCACAACGTACACGTACACCAATGATATACAGGATACTTGGCAATTTCACTTATCAACAGCTTCGACTACTTGCTTGCTGTTTCAAGCCACTAATTCTGGATAATTGCTTTTCAGTGCAAAGGATGTTACCATAGATTTTTATTCATTCGCTTTCGGCTTATCATAAAATCTATGTTAGCCCTGTTTCATACCCCTATAATATTGTAAAAATAAAAACTTCAAATAAAACAAAAAATATAAGTTATTTTTGTCACTAAGTTTATCATTTCACATTAATTAGTAATTGCCAAGCATTAAGTCAATTTTATAATTTACTGAAAATTTTCTAATATATTCTTTTCAATTATTAGACACTGACAATATAATACAAATACTACGGATTTGTGAAAAAATTATTCAAGTAGAAGTAAACCAGGCTTTATTAAAAACCCCTAATGTAAGATAAACTAAGCTTTCAAGTAACCTAGGAACTGAATAAAAAATATTAAAACTCCATATAGCCTTTAATGACTAAATCAAAATATTTGTACAACACATAAAATGTCATCAATTCATCAAAACAATTGATGTTGCCTGATGAAAAATTTGTAAGTAAAAAAGTAAAATTCGATGATTAAGAAGTCGCTGTACTCTGTAGTGTCTGGACCTTTGTTTGATGTACTTAACTGGCTTTTAAACAAGAGAAAAGTCTTTCTAATTCAATCCTTTTGTTGTTTTTAGCCTTAAAAGGGCAAGCTGGCGATGGGCGCAGGATCGAGCGAGCGTGGCCGCACGCTGGACGTGGCTGCACGCGCAAATCTCGGACCTCGAGTTTAGAATCCGTCAGCACACGGAGCTTCAGCGCCAGATGCGCTCGACAAAGGGCCCCGTCGTGCTGGAGATACCAGCCGTGACTGCATCCACGTCCGCAATGTTAGGATCTGCACCATCGTCGTTGTCGTCGTCGTCGTCTTTCGTCGTGGAACCAACGTTGAACGGTTACAGCGGTGTATTGCCCGGCACGACGACAGGTCGGACGTGTGGCTTCGAGGCTGAGCTCGAGCCGGCTGCGGCTAGTTTGAGCTCAAGTCGGTGTAGGCCCTACGTCAGGCACGTGTTCAGGAAGCGCAAACTCGTGCAGCTCAAAGGCCTGCATCTCTTCTCGAAAAAAGCTGCAAGACCTGCAAGCATCAAGTGTAATTGTGATGGCAGATTGGCGTGTTGTGCCCTCTGCACTGGCAGGAAAGATCCGACTTTTGGTCAGGATGTGGAGTTGATGTCTGTGCAAGAACGACTGGCCCTCGTTGATCCAGGCTTTCATTCCGTGCTCTCGATGCCTGATGGTAATTTGACGATCATTATTCATCTGTATACTTAATTGAGAACGAATGCTCGTAACATTTTTTTATCCTTTTTGCGATAGAAGTTACTGTCACTTCCCACGCCGATGCCATTCTACGAACTCCCGAATGGCAGCAAAAGATGGCACGAGGAGGTGTGCGAGGTTCGAAGATAAAAGACAAAGAGGGAAACGAGAGGAGAAACAGACGATCATCCGAGCATCGTTCAAAATGCACATCGAGGTTAAAAAAGTCTCAGGTCACCTCAATAAGTTCGAGTAAGTATTTTTTTTTTTTTTTTTTTTTTTTTTTTTTTTTTTTTTTTTTTTTTTTTNTTTTTTTTTTTTTTTTTTCCTATTTTTTGTTTGTTGTACTATAACTTCAACATTTAAATCGCAAACTTCTTAAAGGCAAACGAAGTCGGAACAACGAACGGTCCAATCACTCGAGCGTCAATCGGAAGCGTCCAACGAAGCAAACGCATCAGCAGCAGTTACAGCAGTCGCAACCGCAACCGCAGTCTCAGCACCAGCATCAGACGCAATCGCAGCCGTTGCAGCAGCATTCACAGCTGCTGGCTTTGCCACTGGACGAAGAGGAGGAGGAGGAGGAGGTGGTGAGCGCCCTATCCAGCTCGAGCAAGTACTCGTCACCCGTGCCTTCTCCTCTCTTTCTTCAGCAGCAACAGCAAAGTGCTGCTGCGACACCAACGTCCAGCGTACCGCCCTCGTCTGAAAAAACTACAAAAGAGAAATCCTCCAACAGTCACAGTCATAGGTAAGCCACGCGAATGCTAATAGCTTTTGAGCGCGCGTGCTCACCCACCCCACTGACCATTACCGCTATCCCTCCACTTTCTTTGAACATTCCTTTTTTGTACTCCTTCACCCCCTCTCTCTGTCTGTCTATCTTTCTTTCTCTTCAAGCTTGCACTTGTAAGCGGATATTTTTCCACACAAATCTACTGAACATAAACTTGAAAAAATATAATTTTACTTTTGATCCTTTTGTCATTCATCCAGTATGTGGGAAAATCGTTTGACACATTGAGTTTACAATGTTATCCAGGAAAAATAGAACCTTGCATTATTTTGGTTTTTTGTTGGATACTTTGTTTTAATTGATCAATTGTTTGATAACTGTTTTATGAATTTATAAAACATTAGAAAATATCTCTTTTTACAGTGATTTATTTTAAGTTTAATTTAACTTGATTTACTAATCACTTGATAACTGAGCAAAAATAAATAGGGGGATGATAAGGCTAATACAGTTAATAACGTCACGTGTCTAACAGAGTATCACAAAGATAATAGACTTTGTTTAAAAAAATGAGAAAGGTCTTTTTTTCTAATCAAGGTAGTCCTTCAGAGAAGACGTTGGATTTGCAGGCGTTTGATGACCACATTTTTACTTGTATGTTAACATTTTTAGTTTTATTTTACAAACAAATATTGAATGATTGTGATTTAAATTATAATTTTGCGTTCTATAATTTAAATCTGTCAAACCTTTTTTTTCTAATACTATTATTTCAGTCATCATGGTAATTACTTACTAGATTCAGTGGCATTTATCATTTCATAACTTTAAAATACTGAAAAGATTTGAGATGAGCTTTAGTTTTTTCATAAGACCGTACATTATATATTTTAATTGTTAACTAGATTAATTTTAAAGAACGTAATGTTTGGTTTTAAGGAAGGACTACCTTACATTGCCCTTAACATTATACATTCATACTTTTTGCTGCCAACTTGCAACGTTTCTAAACCTACCGACTAAGTGTTATGATTTTTTACTTGTGCTAACAGGTATATTTTTAATATTGCAGTCGTTTACGACAAAATTCGTACGACATTGACAATATTGTCATACCGTACAGTGTCGCTGCTGCAACGAGACTCGAAAAACTGCCCTACAAAGAAATTATCATACCAAAGTACGTAAATTTACTAAATATACAATATTTCAGTATAATTTAACAAAACTTCTTTCATAATTTGACCAATAATTGTTCGTTTTTGATAGATGGAGAATCTGCAGTGTACCTCCGCCTGTAGATGTAAAAAATGGCGTTATGCAGAAATCCCTTCCAGACAGTGATGTAAGTACACCTGCACACACGTGTACGGAAAACACGTATTGTTCATACTATGTTGGCAACTTACAATCAATGTTGTCGTTTTTTCTTGACTTTTTCGCAGGTGGAAGATGTTTCTGAAGACGCTGTCGTGCAGAGGCATGAACGAAGTGAAAAGGAAGAGGCAAAGCGTTTCATGAATTTTACGCATCTACCGTACCAGTCGCGAATGCGCCGGGATCGAAGACCAGAATGCCGATCTGAAAGCGGTGCTAACACGCCAGGTAATTTATCAATTTTTTTCATTTACTGCACGAGCACGGATTACTGAATGATATTATTTTATAGATCCAATGTCGCCTCACACAAGTGAATGCGGTGGTGATACAATATCGCCTATAACCTCGCCACCACCGACACCCGGAAATGCTCCAGATTCCGAGCACTCAGACTCGCAGTATCGATCCAGCAGTTTACAGAATGCGTGGCGTCGTAAGATGTCAACGCGTTCTCAAAAAGAAGAACCGTCGAGTTTCTTCGTTGAAGAAGAACAAGAGGTATTTATGCTCTTTATTCATAACAAGTAACTGATAAACGTTGAACTAAAGCTGTTCAGCTATTAAACCCTGAGTTTCTTTTTTTTTAAGATGAATAACTTGGCATGAAGTAATACTTTAATGTAACCAAATGTTTGTTCATTTTTCAGCAGCAAGTCTTGCCATACGAGCCAAGAACTTTCCCATTAACTGAGGAAGATTACCATGAAATGAGGAAGGAGATGCCACACGAACATCCGATCGAATCTTTGCCTGAAACAGTTTGTCAGCTGAATGAAAACAAAGAAGATGTAAGATAAATTAATGCCAAATAACTTTAGACCACTGAAAAGTCAATCTTTGAAATATTGTTAGATATTAACTTTATGTGATCTCTATCATGAATTACGAAAGGGTTTAGTCAGTGGTTTTAATACAAATAAATATTAAATGATGAGTTATACAACAGAAACGTTTGTTATGCAGGAAGCAGAAATTTACTCTCAAGGATCAGATTCAACAGAATCTGCATTGTGTGACCTGGAAGGAGAAGATCCTAACGATCCTGAATGGACCATGATGGAAGTTAGAGAAATGGAAAAGGAGCGAATTCGATCTACGGTCAAAAGATAGGAGGAGCTCGTCAGGAGCTTTAGAAATTTTGGCTCATATCTCAATTATAATGACAGGCATTTGTTTTTCTATAGAAAATGCACTATCTGTCGATTGTTATGCATACGTCTCAGTGACAACATTGCACTCTGTGTAAACGTAATGATTAATATCAAGTTGTAAAGTGTATTATAATTAAAAATTTTGTAATTTTCACCAACCGTTTGCGCTTTAATAGTTTTGTCTCGGAGAAAAAAGATAAACATAACTGAGAAATCCGCTCAGAGTAGCTTTTTTTCTGTAAAAAAAATAAAATAAAATGAAAAAAAGATTTAAAATTTTAGAAAAGTAAATGAAAAAAATTCGTCAGTAATAATTTAGAGTCGTTCATGAACAATAAAGTTATGTAAAATTTGGAGTCTTCATACATGGTTTTAGATTAGAAACTTGATTTACGCTAGGCAAATTGCAAGAATGAAAGTGCCAATTCCAACATCCGGATCTTCGGTAATTTTTTTTTTCTCCCAGTGTTTTTTGTTGGTTTTTTTTTTTTTTTTTTTTTTTTTTTTTTTTTTTCATTTTATTACTTTTTAAAGTGATCAACGAGAGGCAATAATCAGCTGATTTGCAGTTTTATTACAAAATGAACTCCATAAAATGCATATAAATATGTTTTGAATTCAACATTTTATGAATTTACAAAGTCACATGACTTGAACAACGTAAATATATATTTTTTTTTTTAAATATCGTGGGAATACTATTTTTATAAAAAATGCACACGATAACCTCATCTGTAATTGTAATACTTTTTGTATGCAATTTTTTTTGAATTTTTTGTACTAGAAAAAATATATCATCTTATTTATTATTTTCTGAATTAGAAAAAAAAGAACAAAAACAATCTAATGCAAGAAAAATGCAAAAATAAATTTTTTGCTTTTAGCAACAAATTAATACTAATTTTTTTCTTTTTTTTTTATGATTGTTTTCTTACACTATTCCAATATTTAAACTTGTACATATTTTTTAAGTTAATTAAGAGTAACAATAAATTTAAAAGAAGTCTGAAAGCAAATGAAATTCATTTCATAAGTCAGCTCAACAAATCACTGATTACATAAATAAAAAACGTGTACATGTTAGAAAGTGACTGCATAAATAGGACTAGTTGTTTACTAAAAAACAACGAAAATATACAATAAAAAATTTTCTAATTAAGGAGTTGACAAACCTTACACAGGAAATGCTTGTTTCAGCACAACTACACTTGTAAATTTAATTGCGATGATTTTGCAAACAAGTTGCAATTAATCTACATTAATCTACAAGAAAAAGCAGAGAAAAAAGTAACAGGTTTTGAGGAATTGGAAAATTTGTGTCTACTGTTTCATACAACTCCTATTTGACTTTTATTTGTCTCATATGTAATATGTAAAGTTAGTATAAACCTCTATTTACAGTAATAACAGGAAGCATTTGTAAATTTCATTTTTACAATTATATTTTCTGTCTTGATGGTCTTACTGTAAATTATGTGATTGAAAGAAAAAAAAAAAATATATATATATATATATACCATCAATTCAAGCAGAAATGCTGTTTTAATATTTCCTCATTTCCTGTATTTCTGGTTTCTTGTGTGTGCCATCGCAGAATGGTCTGTTTTGAGTACGTTTACAGTTGCAAAGATAATATTCCTTAGTTTTGGTCACGGTAAATTTCACAGGTTTGTGCTTAATTTTGAGGAAGACGTTGTTGTGAGTGCCATCACAGAATGGCTGGTTTTTACTATGACCACATAAACACCAATGATACACTTTGCCTTCTTCACAGGTGATTTTAAAGGGCTTTTTATCGTAAAACTTGCCATCCCCTTTTTGATGGCTCGCTGTGTACACGGTTTTTAATGGGTTTACTGGAATTTCCTCGGCATCGTCATTCTCCTTGAGTTTTGACGAAAACAGTCTTTTTGGCTGTGGAAAGATTTAAAGTTTACTAATATTGATAATCCATCAAGTTATACTTTATATTATATATGTACTGACGAGAATTTTCAACTGCAACTCACTCATTAAACTTTGCAAGTAAAGTTTACCTTGTGTACTCACCGTTTGATATTTGGTCATCGAAGGCACGCGGCTAATGTAGGATAACCTGCCCATTAAAAAATTCGAGTTCATTTTTTTCCCTTGTTTTTACTTTTACGTAACTTTGGAATTAATAAATATTTTATCGCAAAGAAATAAAGAATTAATGTAGTCACTCAGTTAATACGTCACTGCAGACTGCAGTCTGCTGGTGACTGTAGCGTGAGGGGGGGGGGGTAATGAAGTGGACAACACAAATGCGCGTTTCTAACAACAAATATATTTTGGAGCAGAAGAATAAAGGGTCATTTGCAAGAAACGAGAACATAACCTTAAATATCTGTCATTTACATGTACAAACACATCACTTTGTCGTCATGATCGGTCGGTATTAAGTATAATTTGTTAAAAATTGTGTCACTCTAAATTTTCTTTTATTTTCACTTGTTATAACAGCAATGAAGATTATTTTTTAAATCTCCTGTTTTATCTCACTTGTTTTTAAGTATTATGCTCGATTAGTGATAATAAACTAATGGGATGATATGAGTTATCAAGGGACGTGTCAAAGGACCAATGTTTACTACTTTATTTTATTTTAAAGTCTCATAAGGATGTCGGAATTACCAGTGGAATTGACAGCTAGGCCTTTAGCACTAATTGGCCTAGCTGGCTTAGACATTTCATCCAATGCAGTTCACCATTCCATTTGGGATACTTTTAACTACAATCGCAAACCTGATGGTGCAGCTGTACAATTCAAGTTGATTAGTAGCACTCATGAATTCCCAACTGTCAAACCCAAGGTTTTTATTACTTGAGAAGAAAATTTTTTAATTAAATTAAGAACATCATTGCATAATTCTTATTGCAGCGCAATTCATACGAGTGGTACATCCCTAAAGGAATTTTAAAGCGTAATTGGATGAATAAGTATTTAAATGAGGTACCAGCTGTGGTTGTAGTCTTTTATGATTTAGATTGGCATGATGCACAGTGGAACGAAAAAAAAATGGAATGTGCTTCAAGGGTGCAATCATTGAGGTATTTTAATTTGAGCTCCAACAACCTTTTTATTTATATTTGTCGATTATAATTAATGCACCAATCTGATTATGTAGAGCTGTTTTGGAAGGGAGGAATACTAAAATTGCCGTAGTTCTCATACAAAAAGAAGCCCCACCACTACCTGGTACTGAAGATTTAGTTGCCACTGAAAGAGCAACGGCGCTATGTGCTGCTTGCGAACTGCCAGCAAAAACACTTTATTTTTTACCCTATGCAGATCATTTATTGGGATATATATACAGGTATACATTTTGATTCTAGTAGCTTATCATAAATGACTTGACGTTACCTGGTCTTATATATTTTAGATTAGAGCAAGCATTGTACGATCTAGCCCAAAATTTTTATCATCAAGAGTATAAGATTGTTAAAAGTCACAGAGAGCAATTGAATAAAACTGCACACCAATATTTGTTTGTCAGGCATCAATTTAAAATGGCATATATGAATGAATTGAGGCAGGAACAGAATACAGCCCATAAGTACGACAAAGTTATAATCTTGTGTGAAATATAATATGAGCAATAGCCATGTGTATTAATAATTATTTCGAAAATTGTATTTTAGACATTATCAACAAGCTTACAATAACTTATTAGACATAAGAATGGTAGATACGAATTCTTTGGAAATCAAGACAGTTGCGTCTTTCATAAATTACAAGCTATGTAGACTGATGTTCAGTCTTAAACTTCCTAAAGAAGCAATAGCTCAATTTCGAAGTCATACTGAGCGATTCAAGTCGAGGACTGGTCCAAAAGAGCTGATGTTTGAGCATCACGCCTGGATGTCGAATCAGTATTCAACTTTTGCCGAACTTTTTGACGAAGCAATAAGGCAAGGATTACCAGCTGTGCAAACCCAGCATCCAGGATACTATTTCCAATTGGCTGCGACTCATGCCACTCAGAGGCATAATTCCTGCAAAGAACTTTGTAAAGTAAGATATTTTACATTCATCATTATTATAATTATTCCTACAGAATAACAACATTAATTCTATCTAACTGTACTGATTAGAACGTAGAAATATACCCGGATCCCAATCCACTAGCTGGAGAGGAAAAATTAGAGTTTTATGGGCAAAGACCTTGGAGACCTGGAAAACTTAATGCAGAGCCTGCTGATATGGCACGTGAAGCTGCTGCCATTCAGGCTCTGCAGTACAAAGAAAAAATGACGGTCAATCATTCAGTAAGAGAAAAAATTGATATTTTAAAAATACAAAGTGTTGGAAAAAAATAATTTTTTTTTAATACTTTTTTTTTACAGATGATAATAATAGGTTTGTTGGGCAATGCAATTTCACAATTTAAAATATACAGGTGTCCACGGATGCGTCGACTTTTAGGTAATTCTATTTGTTTAGATCACTGATAACATTTGCTGTTAGGTTTCATTAACGTATTTTTCTCTCGCAGTTGTTCAAATGGCTGAGGAATATTTCAACTGTCAAGATTATGGAAAAGTGCTAACGTGAGCAAATAATACTAGACCTCAACTCATTTAATAATTATTTTGTTACAGTTAATGCTAAGTCAATTTAATTTTTACTTTTCAGTCTACTAATGCACATGTTGTGGGAATATCGGAGCGAAAGATGGCCGGTTCTTCTCACGGACATATTAAAAAGTGCTCTTAATGCTGCATACCTGTCTGCAAGTGTTCAAGATTATTTAACATTGTGTTTAGAAGCATTGGGGCCTACAACTACCTTTTCTATGGAGCGCAAAACTGAAATTTTCCAAAATATCATGAATATTTTAAAGGTAGGTGATACATCAAACAATTGTTTCATTGAAAACAAATTTCATTTGAGTTTTTATCTTAATTAGAGCAAGCCACCAATTCCAGAACCAAATATTCCAGAAGATTTAAAAATTTCTGCGTTTGAAAAATGGTCTGCTCAAGTGAAAAGAAGCGAACCCTTTAATTTTACGATTGACGATGACAACATGACGACCTTTATTGATGTTAAAGCTCGATTTACTCAGCCAAAGTACACAGTTAATTCCGTGGTTATTATAGAAGTTTTTGTCAGGTAACATAAACCGTACGTTGAAACAACAAAAAAAACCCTTACATATCTTGACTTGTTCGTGATGTATATTTTTAGGAATGCATATCACGATAAAGTCGAATTTTCAAAAGTATCGGTAACAGTTACCAGTCCAGGTTACAATTCGGAATTTCCTGCAAGCGATCCCAACCAGGGCAACCTCGAATTCGACGCCAATGAAGTCAAAACATTCCTCTGCCGATTCGAAGCTCCTCAACCAAATGACACTCCCGAAATTCAAATTAGCACAATTTCTATTTACCTTGGAAATGACAAAAAGTGCTGTGTCGTATTGAAATTTTCAGCTGCTGGAAGAGAAGCTGGTCTTCTCGACCGTTTATATCCCGAAATTCAACAACTTCGGTGAGAAAAGCTTTCGTAAAACCGTTACAATGAAAAAATGTTTATATTTTCTATACAACAATTGTGTTCAATAGGGGAGGAACGTTTGATACTGTTAGACCACTAATTGTTACCAAAATTCAACTAAAAGAACTTAATGTCGCAATAAATGTAGATTCTAAACAACCGGCAATGTTAGGTGAATGGTTTCCTGTTAAAATATCTGTATCTTCAGATGAAGATATTTCTAGTGTAAATATATTGATTAATTTACTGCAGGATGCCAACAGTAGTGAACAATCGAGTGAGTATTGGACAACAAATACGAAGTAAATGATGTTCAAAAACATTTTATTGTCACCATTGCTTTCAGCCGACTTGAGTTTAAATATGCAAGACAAGCAGTCTTCGATTGTAATTGAAATTGACGTAGTTAATGCTGGTAGTGCTGTTGAGCGGGTGATATACGTCAGATCGCACAACGTTGGTGATAGAAATTTCATGATCAAAGTCGATTACCTTAGAAGTAATAAAAAAAAAGATTCCAAAGAATCTATCTATTCGCTATGCGTTGTCAAACCTTTCGATGTGTCCACTCAATTTTACACTATGCTCTATGAGCCACTCACTAAGGCATTCATAGGCGAACCTTTGTTCCTCATGCCTCACATTACCAGTACAACTCCTTGGCCCATTGAAATCGAAGATACTTCCATAGAATTGGTTACTTATATTTTAAATTATGTCTTGATGATGTTTTAAAAAATAATATTCATCAGAGAAATATTTACTTTTTAAAGGGCACTTCGATAGTCAAAGAAACGGAATCGCCACAACTCAGTATCTTGAGAAAAAAAGTTCTCAACGAAGGCGAGGCGGCTACCGATGCTTACTGCATTGTCCCGAAAATTGGTAGCGAGCAGCCTGCAAGCACTGGAATTTACACAATTAAGTGGAAACGGTATATGTGATATTAGAAAAAAAAAAAAAAAAAAAAAAAAAACAAATTCAAAATTCATATTTTTTCCCAGCTTTTATTTATTAATTTTTATCAACATTAGAGCCAATAGCGAAAACACAACGCTAACAAGTAGCAGCGTAACATTGAGCCCGTTGTGGGTAGAGGACGCAATAATAAATTTAGAAACAAAGTTACCACCCCACGGCTGGGTACTCACTCCCCTCTGCGTTTCGTACTTCATTAAAAATCATTCCGAGTTTTTGATTACTTTGCGATTGAGTATGGAAGCTAGTGATGCTTTCATGTTTGCTGGTCACAAGCAGGTATTGTTATCAATCATTAAACTTGAACGTCGACTAAAAAAAAACAAAAAATTAACTTTTTTCATTTGTATTTCAGATAGAAATCTGTATTCTTCCAGAAAGCGAAAAAAAGGTCGAATGGATACTTCGGCCTCTGGTCGCTGGTTTTGTAGCTCTTCCATCTCTGTCATTGACTGTTCCGCCTGGTGATGAAAACATTTTACGTTTTATCCTTTGGGGGTCAAAGTCAATGTAATGAAAATTATTTTTTGTTGCAGATGAAGAGTACAAATTAAATAAGACACGGTTGGCCGAAGTCTTGGAAAGATCTATTCCAAGTCACATATACATCATGGTAAGTACCAAAAATGGTCATTTTAATATACAGTCAGAATGACAATGAAATTGAAAAATATTTTTGTAGCCCAAGTCACAGACAATAGAGGAATGAGATAATATCGATGATGTGCAATCAGCATTTTATTTTTTGTCTGTATGTATAATGTGAATACATATAAATTTAAATATTTATATTAAAAAGGTGTAAAAAGTTAATAAAATTCATTAAATACACTATTTACTTAATTTTAGAAATCATTTTTTTTTTTTTTTCGTATATCAGTACATTTACATCTGAACGGCATTTTTTTAATCCTGTCAAATTTTATAGTATTGTTTTTCAAAAAAGATTTAAACACACAGCGTATCATACATAAAAAAAAATGCGTTGCAAAACTTTTACCATCAAGATTTTTAAAAAGAACGTTTCTTCTACATTTATACATTTGTTTATTTCATGGTAATAAATTTATCATAAAATCCATTTTTTAATTTAATTTAATTTTTTTGGATTAAAGTACAAGTCAAAGCTTCAGGAAATTTCAGGACCATTCTATTATCCTCTGAAGAGTTGTGTGAAATTTGAGACCATAATTGATACTCGCTCATATACTTGTACATTGTTTCCACATACCACTATAGAAATTTTTCAGCACCGTCATTTAATTCGGGGAGTTTAAGTACGAGTAATATACAAATGTTGATAAAAAAAAAAAAGCTTCAGAAATCAACAATTTCGCTTACTATTGATCCGCAATTTATTTGGAAAATTCATGTAATTAATTTGGTAAAACAGTAAAGTGTAAGCACAAAAATAAAATTTCCGACATCTGACAAAAGGCGAAAAAAAGCATGTAAAGTTTTTGAAGTATATATGAAATAATCCAAGGCGTTGGTTGCAATAAAAATCCAGAGGATCCAAAGAAAATCAATTTCTAGTTATTGAAAAAAAAAAAAGCCAAACTATTGTTCCATCACGTGATAAATTAAACGAATAAATAGCTGAATACACACCTGACCGAGAATAAAAAGGATGAAATAAAGCTTTCTAAAACCGATGGTCGCACATTGTTTATTCTCAGCCAGTCAAATACATGATATGCAATCGATAATACCGCGAATGGGACTAACAAAATCGGTAACTACACGGTAAAGCTACAGTTGAACGATGAAGCAATGAAACCGTCGTAAGCCTCTTGCACGATGGTTTGAAAAATAGAAATTTCATTTTTCTTTGAAATTCGAGAAAAGCCAAGGCCGCGTAATGTTTAAACGCATTATTGTATAAGTATATTCTCGGCCCGCGCTTATCGCAAGGAAATAAGGCCTCGAGGAACGAATCGGTATATGTATAATATAACGCCAAACAGCTGCCAACGTGCCAACGACTTCGTTGAAACACCCACACGCACAACGGGTACATCCATGTGACTCCATATTGTATAGCTGGAAGAAAAATTTTTAGAGATAATTGTACACACGTATACATGTACACATCGGTATTTAAAAATCGATCATCGCTTCGAGGGCACACGACGTTCCATATGCATGTGTATAACGACGAGTATATCATTAAGAAATTTCGATATACACGTTTAGCTTAATTGCCTTTTGTTCGTGCGTGCGTGGACGCGTGTGGTTTGGCCGTTGATTTGGCTCACCCGATAAATCGAGCCGAACGAACAAACTGGATTTTAAATGACAAGTTTGTTGATCGCCGGACCGATGAAACAGGTGAAGCCATTTTTCTTTTTCTTTTCCAGTACCCGCAGGCTCGATGAGAATGCGTGCGTTGAATCCAGTGGGTTTCTGCCATCGGGGGTGGATTTTACAATTTTTACCTTTTTGTCACATCTTGGGCCTTGAATGATTAGTCGCATGTATTTTTTTTTTTTTTTTTTTTTTTTCAAAAATCGTCGTTTACATACTATACGTAAATGTGTTTTTCAAATCCCTTTTTTTTCTCACGGTCGAAGCATTTAGGAAAAATTAAAAAAAAAACGTTATTATAATGTATCGCGTGCCTACATGTTCACGAACGAGAAGAAAAATTTATTTTCCAACAAAGCTCGGGCGGCCTTGGGCAAAAGCAAAAACAATTGTCGTGTGTTAAATATGATGTACTAGGAGCCTCGATGACAAAAACAAGCGTAACGATGGTAAAAACAAAATTATTTATCCGAGAGGTTTGCACGTGCGAGTCGCTCGAACGCAGCTTCCGGAAGCGAGCGATGCACATATACACGGATTTCCTTCAATCGGCATGTCCTCCGTCTATCGTCACCGTTAAAATGCTACACGAAATAAGTAAAACGAAGCGCGCATACACGAGCTAGTTACGCGCGCACATGTACAATATTTACTCAAGCCCGCGGCGCGACTGACTTTTCGTACCTGCGCGCGTAAAATGTTGTACTAATCTTAATAACCTTTTTTTTTTTTTTTTTTTTTTTTTTTTTTTATTACGTAAGCACCGCACGCGTGCATTTAAGTACTTGTGCTCGCACTTTTTGGTGCTGCGCCGATGCCTGGACGAACGTATATATGACAATAAACTTCGAAGCTCTACCTCATAATACTCTAACGCCACCGCGACCAATTGCCTATAAGTATACCGAGTTATATACGCTTACAACTCTTTTTTTTTTTTTTTTACACTTCCACGTGCACCATCGCGGAGTTCCTTTCGTTCCGAAGATTTTCTTATCTTTTGGGAAGAAGAAAAAAAAAAAAAAAAAAAGAACAACTTGTGTATGAGATTAGGAAGCCCGACGCGTTCGTTAAACATCGCACCTGTGCTTGCATCGAGCGCCGCAAGTGTTATTGTTGCCGAAGCACGTGGATTTTCGGATTCGAGCGATGGGGATATTTTACGTACGCTACGTTAATTATCCTCAAAAACGATCTCACCGATTACATGGCGAATCGAACGAACCGTTTGCTCCATTGTACTTATTGTATTATATGGTACATCAGAGCGGAAGATAGAGAAAAAATATTGCTCGCGGGTCATGGGCACCTATGTCAATACATGATGTTTCAATTGTCGCGATGTTTGTTTTTCCTTTGTTATATAAATTGCTACCTTGTACATAGGTATATATTTCATTGGGACGATGAATAAATGAAGCGTTCGCTGCTGCCGAGACTAAACGTGTGTGTCTGAATGGGGAAAAAAAAAAAAAAAATCGTTCGGTACTCCGGGTTGGTGTGCACGTAGGTACGTAAGGTAAGTAATAATGATAATTATCAAGCTCGAAAACCATCAGGAGTACATGTACATGTATTATTACTATACTACTCTTATTGCGTGTTTGGCATTTTGCAGATATACACTCACGCGTGTAAAGGCAAACAAAAAAAAAATTTTTTTCTCTTATCTAAGCGGGCCACCGAAAAATTGTTCTTCTCGTGTATATAGACACATGTACGCGTACGCGTAATTTTTCACGCAAAGTATACATAGTACTCAATTAATTCATCGCGCAGGTACGTTTGAGAGATCATCGGTAAATACGCGAGAGATTTTTCGCTGCGATCTTTTCTTCAAAAGTTAGGCAGGACAGCGTGGTGTGCCGATTTATTTTTTTCTCTCGTTAAAATCGATACTCCGAAGAACACGTATATTTTGTAAATTGAATGGCAAATGAAAATCTTGTCACTGGGGTTGAAAAGTATAAAAAAAAAAAAAAACTTAGCGACGGGGTGCTTAAAACGCGCAAACTCAATTTTATGACATGAATACTTATTTTGCTGTAAAACAAGTCGAAGCTTCGACAATAAGAAGATGTGTATCCGCGTTTTTGAAAAATCATGTTAAACGTAATGTGAAGAAAACGCATCAACGTATGACTATTCACTCAATAGTGGAAAAAAAAAAATTGCTATTAAAAATTTTTTTTTCTCCAATCCTGAGAGGGAAAGGACATTTTTGTTTTTTCGCTCAAAGATAAAACTACCGTAAAATAACGTGTCCGAGGTAGCACCTCCTTACTGTTCGGATGCTAAGTGCACGAAACCGAACAAATAAAAAGAAAATTAATATGTAAATAAAAATTGTAAAAAGGAGAAAAAAAAAAAAAGAAAAGAAAAAAATAAGAAAAATGATGAAAAAGTGCAATAGCTACCTGAGTACAATACATCCGAGTCGATGGTCCCGTAGCCGTTCGTCTAGGAAGAGCCAGCGCTGCAGGATGTACTTACTCCCGAAGGTTCCAAGTCGACGGTCACGCTGAAACTGCACTGGCGCATGAAGCGCGCCCGACCGAACCGTTTTTTGGGAAACCACCTCGGTTTTTCTCTTCGCCCCCACCACCACCTCCACCTTCCCAACTTATTTCTTCACCGGCCGATGCGCGCGTGCCCACACGAATTTTAACCAGTACTAATAGAAAGTACGCATACACGTATACACTTTCGTACAACAATAATTGTTCCTTACACACGCGTGCTTATGTCACGTATGTGTATTACATTGCACGAGCGTGTGTGTGTTTCAGTGTCTCACCTGAACAAACTGGTGCATATATGTATGTGTGTATATGTATTCATACACACGTATAATTATCACATTTTGAGCCACAAAGAAAGAAGAAATAGAAAAATTTCATAATTTAACGAGAAGAAGAGAAAGAGACACAGATAAGGTGTATATAGCCGCGCGCGCGCACGATTTCATCCTTCTTTTTCTTTTGGTGTAATCGTCGTTAAACTTTTTTTTTATTTTTTAGCCACCACAGGAATATACATACATATGCGCCTTTTATGTATATTTATTTTCTACGGGGACCAATTGTCATGGTGATGGTGCGGGTAGTACACAGCAGATCGCGAATGTTACCGATAATTATGGCCCCAAGAAAAAATGGTACCATTACATGTGTGTATGCAACGGCGAAAATGGAAACCGTTAAAGAAAAAAATTTCGCCAGACTGTTTTTTAAGTTTTTTCCTGTACATGAAAGACTTATGTGATACTAATGCTCCGTAATGCCAAAAATGTACCGTAACGAAAGAAAAAAAATCGTTTTCTTCTTTTTTTGCGATCCGCACCGATAATTGGACGTTTTGGGACAAAATACGAGTACAAATGTCACGCATTTCAAATAAGTAAATGTCTCATTTCTCTGTTTAACGGTTTTCGACAGTATCGTACACCTACTCTGATGCAGAAAAAGATAAAAGCTATTATCAAATTTCCAGAAAAATCATCATTATACAGCCCCATATTTTCAATGTACGGTTTACTACGTATGGGCAATCGCGCCTCATTAGTTGAACAAAAGCTTCTATATTCTTAATTTGTCGTAAATTAGTATAGTCACTTTTTTTCGGGGCACTAGAAATTTCTACTCGTGTGACGTCGTACATTTTGTAGTTATCGAACGTGTCGTCATCAATTCACGTGGCACTATATATTATAATCAAGTCGAAACGGCGGCGTTTTTATTTAACCATACATATAATAAATTAGCAGCCACGTACGTGTAGAAGAATAACGCAAATCGTGTATATTTATACTGATATCCGCTTTTGTAAAAAATAGACCGTCGTATCAACTTGTTATATGAATAGTCATTCTGAAAATAATCAGTGTCCAAACTTGCACGAGTCGTGGTGACAAAAAAGGGCCTTTTTTGGCACCGAGAAAGCTTTCTTTTTCTGAAAATTAAAAAAAAAACAAAAAAGAAAAGTTAGTTTTTCGTTTGATATTGTGAAAACGTACAAAATACGTTGTAGTGAACAATAAGTACCAGATTTCGGAATCTTTCGACACGTACGGGCGCAGAGAAAGCGCTTTTCGCGCCAACGCGTTAATGAATTTTTAATCGTACGCTTTGTGAAGCGCTTCTGCGAACTCGCTGTGATAAAAATCGAGTTGGACGATAACGGTTATCAACTAACGGCGCTCGTTGGCAGGAACGTCGAAAATTTGTCGCCCAAATGATTTTCTAAGCTTTAAAAAATTTGAAATATTTTTCACCTCCGCATGTACACGTATGTACAACATACAAGAAAATAATTGACGCGATAACAAAGACATAGTTGAAGGGAGCTGGTACACATATTCGGCACCATGTAGATGTAAAGAAAAAAAAAAGTTATCGTCTGAAGAGACACGAGTTTTCAGTCACGAAAAAAAAAAAAAAAAAAAATGACTACCGATGTTCGCTTATTTTTCGCACGAGCGTATACTGGGTAGCTATTGTTAGGGTGTCCTTACTTCCATGTATACCTTAGACAAGTTACGGTATTTTTTTATTTTATTGCACCTCCCGGCAATGTAAAAATGTAATTTTATATATACCTACGCATAATAATATATTAATATTAGCAGCAATATTCCTATTAGTGAAAAAGCGAAGAATAAGATACGTGTAATAAATTAAAACGACTTGCTTCCTGCCGCACACACAGATACACAAGTTTTTTCACCGATACAAGTGGTGGCGTGAGAACAAAAAAAAAAAAAAAAAAAAAAACGCATCTATAAATGGTTGCTAATGAGAGAAAATTTTTTTGTCGCACGATAAGAAAACAGTTATCAGATGGAGTATGCCTATGTGGTAAACAACTTGTTGAAATATGTATGTGCGTGGAACAAAAAAAAAATTTGTTTTTTTCAAATCCTATTTTACGTACATATTGATTGATATAATACTTATTGTTAACTTGGGAAAACGATCAAATTGTAAAGTTTTAGCTAATTTTTTAAAACTTATAATTAAGTATATAACCACCGCCAATCGTAATTTATTGACACCTAGATCAAAGAAAGCGCAAAATAACTCACGTTCAATTTTCAATCTGAGTTAGTGCTTTATTTGAACGAGACGTCGAAGTGTGTCTATTCCATTGTTTATAAAAGATGAAAAAATAAAAAATAAACATTTTTCCTACGTTTTTCGTGACATTTGAAAAAATAGTACATAAGTATTCGCGATTCACCGCACACATGGCGCTTCCGTGACAAAAACTATACTCCATCTTTTATTCCTCACGTTTTCAACAACATTGCGAGCAAACCAGCAAACCTCGTGAAGCCGATTTACGACAAATAGCACGACTATCGCATAAATTATCGGAAATGCGTAGAAAATCACGACAAAGACTTAAGTAGCTCAATGACTTTTTTTAATACTATTGAATTTTTTTTTTTTNTTTTTTTTTTTTTTTTTTTTTTTTTTTTTTTTTTTTTTTTTTTTTTTTTTTTCATACACCCACGTGATTTACAGAGGGCCAACATACCAAATAACAGATATGGAATTGCTGGGGAAAATATAGACTCATTAACAATTGTAATGATTTATTACTATGTATGTATATGAATCTGATTGAAATATAAGTCGGGTGTTTCGGAAACAGGATGCACAAAAAATGTTCCATTTTTCTCCGGATTTTTAGTTGAAAAATCTTTTTGAGACACACTCTTGAAACTGGGCTTATTTTACTCGCAATGGCAATATATACTATGCGGGAAAAATCATAAACAGTGGATTTCAACAAAAACGACACCGTTTTTCGTTACATTTCATAATTTTTTTAATGAATTCAATGTAATTAATTACCAATTGAGAAAGGCTATATTTGAAAAAGCTTAATAAAGCATAGCTGCAATAAGTCTATCGTTTTGTGCGATCGTTTTGAATAATGATATTCTGTTTTTTTAAACGCGGTTAGTTATTCGATTTAAACCAAAATAAGAAAGCTGTCAACTTTCGATTAACTCTCAGGCTGCGTATACATGGAGTCTTGAACTTCCAGGACCAGCCTATAAGCCCGTGTGAGTGCGAGTGAGAAGCAAGAACATATTACTCTCTTTCTCGCACTCACAAGGGCTTGTGGACTGGTCCTGGAAGTTCAAGACTCCATGTATACGCAGCCTCAGGCTGTGTCGACCTATAAAAATTGACCTTACAGGTTTAATTTTTAAATTCAATCGACATCCTGCTATCTGAAGTTAAAATAATTCTGCTGCAACACAACTGTAGTGTGCATCTGCGGGTGGGCGTAAATGTATGTTAATACAATCTGCAACTTTTGCAACATAATAAACTTTTATCTCTTTAAAAATTTTGTTCGATTTCATGAATGAATACCCGGATTTGTGACACGATTGATTTATGTGACCAATAAAACACAATATAATACACTTTGAGCAATTATGTTTTAAATGCGTTTAGTATTCATCAGAGCAAGAGTTCCTACCTTTCCGACTATTTCATGTTCGGGAGAATTTTTTGGATGTAAAATAATGTCAAATGGAGATAATTTTAGTGAAAAGCCGTTCGAATAATTACTGTTTCATTAATTTGATGAATAAACATTAATGACCATCTTTTCAATTTTTTAGTCGCTTAATCGTAATTTATTGATTATAGACAAAGAATGTAAGAACAAAATTGAAAGTACCCATATTTTCATTATTTATTTAGATTTTAGCTTTTTACAAAGTTGTCAAACAAAAACAAACTCTAGAGCGTATTGTTATGAAAAAAGTGCAACAATGCGCTCTTCATTGATTAAAAGTAAATTAATAAATTGTCTAGAACCTTTTCAATGTAATAAAAACGATCAACGTTTTATCACTGGAATGATACTTTTTAACTGAGGACCCGATAATCGAGAAGTAAATTGTAATAACAATATATCCCTCAGCCGTTATAATTTTTCTATTTGTATTATCTATTGACCAGTGCGTGACGTCGACAAAACGTATTTACTATCAGTCATATAGATCTTTTAGAAATTGATTGATAGGTTTGGCAACCCTTTCAGGATTGTTGAGGTGAACGTGATGTGTTCCATCAACTTTGTGGCTGACGAACTTTCTAGAATTTTTTTCTATAACATCCAAGACTTTATCGTAGTTCTCTGGTTGCTCAAACTTCATCCCAGGTACGGCTCGAATATTTAGATAAGCGCACTTGATTCTCTCGGCATAAGCTATTACCAGATCTAATGACAGCATACCCAGCAGTGAAACCTAAAAAATTGATAAATACATTCAGAACTTTTTATTATTATATCGGAAAAATACTACATACACTCAATTTAAAACTAGTATGATCTTTACTGTAAACTTTTCAGATTATTGAAAAATTTACAAACAAAAGAAATTACGAAATAAAATTCTATTGCATATACCTTTAGTCTCGGATCCCGACTGAAACAGTATTTCTTGGGTGTATGGGATTGTTGCATTCCTCTTTTCATTAATATTTCTGCACTTTCTTTTGTAAGAGATTTGGCGTATGCGTTTTCAACAATTTCTATCATTTCGCTGTATTCGTAGCAAGGCACACTATCAGGCATTAAGTTTTCAAACTTGAGAAACTGGTCAATGTTAGCACCTGTAACTCCCACGGTCTTGGTGACATCCCTCACACTGGGGCTCACTATATCTAGACTTATGACAAACTCCGTTTCATCAGGATAAGAAGCTGCATACAAAAATGAAATAGCACCTCCAAGAGAGTGTCCCAATAGTTTCACCTATACAAATAATTCTATTTAATTTTACTTAAAAAATTTTTTTGAGATGAATACAGTGTTAGTCGTTAAAATAATTTTTTAACAAATTTAAAACGTTAGTAGAAACATTAGTAAAAGACTTCTACAAACAGAAAACAGAGTTTTATAGTGATATTAAAATCAGACTCTTGCTCCGAACTCAATAACCATTAGATTAAATGTTTTTTAAAGTATTAATAGTTATTATTTAACTGTTAAGAAGCTAACCTTGTTCCATTTGTAATATTTAATTATTCTACGAAGCATAATGATGCCCTCCCAATATGGAAAATAGCACTGGCCTTCTGGCAAATGGGAAGAAAAGCCATGTCCGGGCATGTCCAAGCACAATACAGACACATCCTTCAATAAAGGAATTAAAGTATCAAAACTCCCTGCATTATCTTGACGACCATGCAATGCAATAATCGGCTGTATTTCCTTAGGACCCCACCATTTACCTGCAGATAATCAACAAAACAATGTACAGATCCCTGACTTGTTTAATGAAAAAGGGCATGTTAATTGTTATTTCAAATGGAAGCAAAGTGTAAGCTGGTTTCTGTATTAATCATCCCTATGATATCGGAGCAAGTTCTGGAGAAGCCATAGAAACCATTAATTCCTTAATTTTTCATACAAGTGTATAAATTAGTGCATTAAAAACCAGACCAATCATCCGAAATTTTTTTGGACAGATTCAATGTCTAACCTTGTCCCACTTGTAGTGTTTAACAATTCTACGCAGAAAAATAACTCCTTCCCAAAATATATAGTAAAATTGACCAGGCGGGAAGTGAGAGGAATGACCATGGCCTGGCAGATCTAAGCATAGAACTGCAACATCTTTCGACGTCAGCATGGGTGCAATGGTGTCAAAACTCCCAGCATTGTCTTGCCAGCCATGTAAAGCAACTATTGGCCTTACATCCAAAGGACCCCACCAAACTCCTATGTGTTATTTTTTTTCACATACACGCAATGACAAAGAATGTAGCAAACAAACAGAACATTTTGTTGTTAATTTATGCTTCTTACAATACTTAAAAATCTATTATTATGCACAAGTGCTAAGGCAAAATAAATGCATTGACTAGGCAATTGTACTAGTTCTAGTTAAATGAAAACACTAACCACTTATGTATCCCCAAGGAACTGGAATGTTGACTTCCTCATATTCTGAAGGAAATATTATTTTTAAAAAACAAAAGCCAATGACTATTGTAAGTTTCATTAAAACTATTGCAATTTTACCTTTTTTTCCGTATCTGTTGCAAGAACTGTCATTGTCTTCCGTGGTATTCATTTTGATTTTAATGTGACAGCTGCACTTGAATAAGATAAGCTCTCTCTCGATCTTTTCTTTCTGTAGTGTGGATTTTAGGTATAGGTACACTGTATCTAACGCTAATGTGAAAAATGCATGTCACGTTTAATATTATAGAGGAATGCATAAAAAGTTATTATTCCATCAAAAGAGGCATATAGCACATGTCATTTATTATGCGAATCACTGCAAAACTTTGACTTTGTAAGTCGATCTATGATTTCAATTATTGAAAATTAATTTAATACTTTTTAATATGAACTACTCAATGATGAAATAAATTGTATTCATGACAGCCGCGAAGTAAAAGCTTACCAGCTGACTGTTTGAGCAGACGAATTTTCTATTTACATAATAAAATACACTCTCTCTCTCTCTCTATAGTCTCTCTCCGCATCTCCGCAAATCCGCAATGCATGCGCGTGCATGTACAGTCTCACACAAATATGTAGAGAAAATGTACGTGCAGAGTTTATACTTACCGACTACTCTACCCGAAAAAAAAAAAAAAATGTATCGTATCATATGAGGGTACAAAGCGGCGTTACCACCACGACCTACGTAACTTTACAGCCTCTGATTTTATCATTCTGGTAAAGAGAGCACGGTATAAGATGTACGTGAAGTTATGTAGTAATTTAAGTAATTACTACTAAGTAATGCCACATGGTCGATTTTATTAAACCATTTGAATATCTATATTTTTGGAGGTAGACTTTTGGGTAAGAAATAGATTGTGAACTTGCCGCAAACAGCACAAACTACGTCAACTTTTTATTATCTATCTACAAAATTAGTTGCGGCTGGTTTACAATTAATTAAATGGCTCTAATACAAGAAGTAATGATTATTTTGGTCAGCGCCATCTAGCGTTGCGAATTTCTTAACTAAAAAGTGGCCCTAAACTTTTGAACCAGAGCTTTAGCGCGTAGAGCCATTTAATCACTTATAAACCAGCCGCAACTCATGATGAAGCTATGTAATAAAAAAACAACGATACATGTGTTTTTGGCGGCGAGTTAACAATTTATTTTCTACCAAATAATTGACCTGCTATGTATTTATACTTTTGAAGATAAATTTTCGAGTAAAAGATAGATTGTTAACTTGCCGCCAAAAACACACGTATCGTTATTTTTTTATTTTATAGCTTTGTCATGAGTTGCGGCTGGTTTATCATTAACTAAATGGCTCAAATCCTGAATGCTCTGATTGAGAATTTTAGGAGCCACTTTTGGCCAAAAAATAAAGACCGCTAGATGGCGCTGATTCAAATAATTATTACTTCTTATATTAGAGCCATATGATATAATAAATTATAAACCAGCCGCAACCAAGCTTATAGATAGATAAAAAAAAGTTGACGTTGTCTGTGCTGTTTGCGGCTAGTTTACAATTTATCTTTTACCATAAAATCTACCTCCAAAAGTATAAATATTCTACTTATCATAATATGCTTATAAAATCGATAATATTTACAAAATTTTAATACTCTAGACTTTTTGCCATTAACTCATGTAAGCACAAATTAATCAGTCCAAAAGAGACAACCGAAGAAAAAAGGCCTGAAAAAGAAGCACAGTCACACGAAGAGGACGAGTATCGGATCTCATTTGATCAGAGAAGGTTGGGTTCTTTGTTTACTTATAACACTTAAAATTTACATCTCTGTAATAAATGTATTTTTCAATTAGTGAGATCCAATGCTCCATTCCTAGGAGACTCTTCGTGTGATGGCTTCTTTTTAAGACCTTTTTTCTTCAGTTGTCTCTTTTCGACTGATTAATTTACGTGTATATTTGATCGTGATTTACGATTTCTGTAACACAAATTTTGCCATGTACATATTATATAAGTTAACTGTTTATTGGAAATCTAAAGTTGAAGGGCTGTTCTTTCATTAGTTAATGGCAAAAGGTCTAGAGTATTTAAATTTTGTAAATATTGTCGATTTTATGAGCCATATAAGATAAGTAGAATATTGATGGCTTTGGAGGTCGATTTTAAGGTAAAAGATAAATTGTAAACTTGCCGCAAAAAGCAAAAAAAATGTAAACTTTTCATTATCTATCCGTAAAATTTGTTGCGGCTGGTGTATAACTAATAAAGTGACTTTACTGTAAGTAGCAATAGTTGTTTTGAATCAGCGCCATCTAGCGGTCTTTATTTTTTGGCCAAAAGTGGCTCCTAAAATTCTCAATCAGAGCATTCAGGATTTGAGCCATTTAGTTAATGATAAACCAGCCGCAACTCATGACAAAGCTATAAAATAAAAAAATAACGATACGTGTGTTTTTGGCGGCAAGTTAACAATCTATCTTTTACTCGAAAATTTATCTTCAAAAGTATAAATACATAGCAGGTCAATTATTTGGTAGAAAATAAATTGTTAACTCGCCGCCAAAAACACATGTATCGTTGTTTTTTTATTACATAGCTTCATCATGAGTTGCGGCTGGTTTATAAGTGATTAAATGGCTCTACGCGCTAAAGCTCTGGTTCAAAAGTTTAGGGCCACTTTTTAGTTAAGAAATTCGCAACGCTAGATGGCGCTGACCAAAATAATCATTACTTCTTGTATTAGAGCCATTTAATTAATTGTAAACCAGCCGCAACTAATTTTGTAGATAGATAATAAAAAGTTGACGTAGTTTGTGCTGTTTGCGGCAAGTTCACAATCTATTTCTTACCCAAAAGTCTACCTCCAAAAATATAGATATTCAAATGGTTGAATAAAATCGACCATGTGGTATTACTTAGTAGTAATTACTTAAATTACTACACATAACTTCACGTACATCTTACACCGTGCTCTCTTTACCAGAATGATAAAATCAGAGGCTGTAAAGTTACGTAGGTCGTCGTGGTAACGCCGCTTGGGGTGTTTTTCGCAGCAAGTAAAAGGCTTAGTTGACTTACCGACCTGATGGTAACGTAGAGCGCAACCCACTATTACTTGCTGGTGACGATTGTGGAAAACACCTAATACATGACAGCGCCGACAGCGGAACATATTTTTACTAGCCTTGTAATTATCACTAGAAAATTTCTTGAAAGAAATATAGTGTTTTTTAAGTTCGGAATCAGCCTCGCTAGATAGCGCTGATTATAAACTGAAAAGAAAAATAAAATGAAACACCCGGAAGAGAAAAACCCGAAAGCCGATGGTGTTCAATAAAATATTATTTACAACAACTGAATCCAAAAAATCCTGACTCCCCTCAACTTAAAGCATAAAAAATATATCAGTTGTACAAAAAAACGCACCTTTACTTACACGTGGTTTACCAGGATAAAGAATGAATAACACACGGTCTGTCGTAAAATAAAGTTATGTATTTTATGGCTCATCATTGTTTTACTGTTTTTTTATTTTACTTTTAGTTTGGAATGTTGGGATTCACTCGTCCTTAATGGAACCTGCAAATTCAGATAGAGATAGCAAGATACTTCATTAAAAAACTTCGGAGCTTGGGGTGTTCGTGAAATAAGTTTCAAGCTCCCCCCAAGATCCCTCAAGATTTTCAGGACCACACGCGAAAACTGCGTGTGAAGGAGAAAGAAAACAGATAACTAAATTTCGTGAGCGTGTGTCCTGCAGCAGTGAGAGAGAGAGAGCATTTGTGAATACACATATAAGTAGATAGATATAAATGCACATTAACGTGGGTGGGTGACTGCTGGGGCTGGGTGTTCATGATAAGTGTGCTATAGTTAGTACTGCTGCCTGGCGCTGAGTGTGCTCCTCCTGCCCGGCCGTCGTCGTCATCGTCGTCGTCGGTTTGTGGCGTACTTATCTCTTGGACTTACTCCTAGGTGCACCCACGTCATCGCCTCGCGAGGTTGCGAGTGAGCAATAAGCAGAGATAGGTAGGCCACCCCCTTATCTAACAAACCATTCTTACGTGTTGTACAATTGTATATGTGTACATACGTGCTCGTGGGTTAGATTAGTTAGACAGAATACCAATACTTGATATATTAGAAGGATGGGGCAGTGAGGCATACGCGAGCGGAGAATATTGTCATCAGGACGGCAGTGTGTATATAACGTTATTAAATTCCTCCCGCCCGCCTCCTCTCTCTCAGGGAACAACGCTAATCGAGAATCAAGAAGAATTTTCGTGCGCGTGATACAGTGGTAGTAGTAGCAGTAGCTGATGTACGTACGTCTTCGTCTACGGCTACGTTAACGTGTGTGTGTGCGTGTAAGTGTATTTCGGTCGTCGTTCGTGAGTTTCGTGCGTCTACGTCCTCACGTTTCTGCTTCTGGCCTCGAAGACGACGTTGCTGCTGTTAACTGCTGCATCGGGGCACATAGTCGAGCTGTGGGTAGGAGAGTCACTGCTACAGAGCTGCTGCTGCTGCTGCTGCTGATGATGATGCTGTGTGTGTCGTGATTTAACGGATACGCGTACATGCATACGTACAACCTAAATACACATACATACACGCAGACTTACACTTCGACAGAGAAGAAGAGGAAGGTGGTGTACCTATACTGTACTCGAGAGTGAGAGCATAATCAGCAGAAGCCACAGCTTTTTTAAGAAGAGAACAAGAAATAACGGAGGCATATACGCGAGTGCAGCTGGGGATCAAAGGCCTCGTGCACAGAACAGAGATCGCCAGCGTATATGATATTCCATTCGGAAAATGAATCGACATGAAGGTATGTATATAGATGGCATTTTCTCTTTCTCATTCCATCTCTCCAGGCTGACTCGTTCTCTCTGTCTCGCTCGTGCCAATGCTCCGCGACTCCAACTTTGCTAGTCTCTACCTTATTTTTTTTTTTTTTTTTTATAGTATTGTGCCTTTTCATTTGTACTATTTTTTATCTGCTTTTCCTCTTTGCTAAAAAATTTGGTTGTACTAGGAGATTGACTCCTGGTGACTCCGTTGTAGGAGTAAAAAGAGATGCAGAGAGATCGAATCTGCGCGATGTGCATCTCAAGTGGAAGTGAGACAGAAAGAGCTGAGCTGCTGCTGCTTGTGCTTTTCTCTCTCTCTCTCTCTCTCTCTCTGCCTGTACTCTTTTTCTCTTCTGCAGGCTAATGTCAGAGTGCCAGATGGCAGCACGCAGTTGAGGTTTACAGGAATTTATCCATTTTCATTTTTTTTACATGATTTCCCAATTTTGTTATATTCTCCATTGCTAAACAGGGTTTAACAAAAGACTGACTGCTGTTTTGATGCGAATGCTACTCTAATTTCATGTTAACTACTGTCTGGAGCTAAAAGCTGGGCCATGGTCTAAGCCTTTTCTACAGAGAGCTGCTAAGTGCAATGCTCTTGCTCCATTTCTCGGCTTCTGACCATGGCCTGATTCAAGACATTTGATGATAGGAAGTGTCATCTTGTTATTTCGTTTGTTACAGGGGTAAGCTGTGACTCCTGTATGAAAGGAAATTTTAGGGGTCGCAGATACAAGTGCCTGGTGTGTTATGACTACGATCTGTGTGGCACTTGTTATGAGGCTGGTGCCAGTACAACTCGACATCTCGCAGATCATCCCATGCAGTGTATACTGACAAGGCAAGATTTTGGTAAGACATGATCATTTCATACTGGTTCATTTAATTTTTCCTGAGTAAATAAAAGTATCTTTGAATTTTCATTGTTGAAACAGTTTCCATTAGCTTCATTTATGTTGAAAGTGGTGCATGACTTGACATCATTTGCCTTGACAATTCTGTCTGCTGCTCTTTCTTATTTTTAAGCTCCACCCCTTGAATTCTCAATAATTTTCAACTGCAAACCGTTTTTACGCATTTGATTTCTCAGCTCTTTGAGTATTTTATTTTTTGGCCACTGTCCAATGTTTGCATGTTTGTGCCATTGACTGAGTTTTTCTGGCCTTTATCCATTTTTTTCTCTTGGTGTTTCGAGATATATTAATACTTGATTAAAAATTTCAAATCTTTTGTTATTACTTTCTTTGTTGAAACTTGAATTCCATGAAAAAATTGATATAAATCAATTTCTATTCTTATTTTTTTTAACGAAACTAATAATTTATCCGTTTATTACTTTTAAAACCTATTTACAAAAATACTTATTAATTGATTATTTCTTTAAAGAAAGAAGTTTAAAAATGTGTCTATAAAATAATTAAAAATATAATAAATAAGAAATAATAGTTCAAGTCAAAATACTGCTCAGTTAAACTTGTAAGTTTGTAGGTCCTTATTGTTAATTCATATTTTTTTGCACTGTAGAGTTATATTATGGAGGAGAAGGAGTGAGTGTTGAACAACCACAGTCTTTGACTTGTCCATATTGCACAAGGATGGGATTTACAGAAACAACATTACAGGAACATGTAGCTGCTGACCATCCTGATACTTCCTTTGAAGTGGTATTTATATTTTGTTTTTTAATGTTAATGATGTTAGGAAAGTCGGAAAACGAACTATCCTTACTTTTTAAAAAAAATCAAATAAAACAAGCTTATTTTAAAGTGAAAAAAATACATATTAAAGTATAATACATAATCACTAGATAACTTATGTAGATGTTTGTGTTGTTGGTTATGCTCTATGTTGACATCTGCATTAAAACAAAAGTTTATCGACACATGTCATAATTATGATTCTCTACATAATTCTACATCAAAATTATCAGTTCTTTTGAAAAATTGAAGCTTGTTTACTGATAAGCCTAATGACAAGTTAATCAGTATTAATAAAACCTTTGTTATGTTGAATTTTCCCAAGTAAAGATAAACAACAACAACAACAATCATTGAGTAAAAGATACTCCGTGTACAACAATTTCAAATTCATTCAATGAATATTTTACATTTTGAGCATATAATCGGAAATGAACTACTAACTCATATTCGTTATTGCTTCTTAGAATAGGTATAAGGTGTCAATCATTTTACAGTTTTCTAAAACACTGAAAAATGAGTATTTCGTAATTCTAACCTACAAGAAATTTTTTTTAATGTTAAAAATTTTTTATAAAATTGTCTGGTAGTTTCTTTATATACTAATGTAGTACTACTTATTGTTATTCAGATCTGTCCAGTGTGTGCATCCTTACCGGGTGGCGAGCCAAATCTTGTTACAGATGACATTGCTGGTCACTTAACTTTGGAACATCGCAGTGGACCAAGGGATTTGATAACCTTTCTCGATGACTCAGCTTCCAGTCGGCACGGAGTGAGGCGGATAAATCATGCAGCTAGAGGTGTATCTGCCACCAGACCACGCAGGTACTCATCCGCATGCTCTGTTAATAATTAAATTAACCGTTAACTCCGACTTTCAAACTTTTTAATCACCGTTTTTGATTCCCATCATCCAAATTGTTTAACTTACGCATAAACTTAATATTGCATCAGATTTATTAAAAAGTGTGATAAATTTAAGTATATTCAAATAACAACCTTACATAGATTACTTATACAAATATTAAGATTAGCAACACAACGCATATTTCATGAGTTATAACAATTAATACCATTACTAATACCTACATTAATCATACCACAATGTTACAAATTTTCAGGTCGAATATGCATTTCAGTTCTACGGGTGGTCTAAGCCCAAGCAATAGAGACGGAATCGACCCAATAGCCGAATTACTTTCACAGTTGTCTGGCGTTCGAAGGAGCGGAGCTAGCAGTAGCGGTAGTGGTAATGCAAGTCAAAGTTCGTCCGCGCCATCGCAGTTGCAACAGCTGCAGATGCAATTACAGCTCGAGCGTCAGCAAGTGAGAGTAAGCATGCTCTTTGTTATTCTATGATGGTTTTCAAACTATCCAAGTTTTTGCTTGTATAGAAATTATCACGTATTTGTCACATTTGACGTAAAAGATTGGATAAAAGATTCTCAACGAATTAATTTGGTATTTTATTTGTAGGCTGCCAGACAACAACTAGAACGATTGCCAAAACGACAGACTCAACTGATGGGGTCCTCTACTGGTACTACCAGCAGCAATGGAAGCCATTCAAGTACCATGCCAAACACGGCACTAAATAATACGACTAGTAACAATAACGGCACCAGCTCTGTAAATCCATCCGGCATCTCTGCGTCGAATTCACAAAACTCGACGTTTCTTCTCCCTCGGTAAAAATCTCATTAGTTATATTACTTACGCAACAACATCGACGTACGTACGTCTGTATGAAATTTAATTTGTGGTAATCATTACAGATGCATAGCGAGCACACTATCTGATTCGCAGCTGCAGAATATTGAGAGGGAGAGCGCGAATCGCAGCCTCTTTACGCGAGAACTTGTGGTGAGCACGCTAGTCGAGGCGCTACCAGAGTTAACCGTGACGCAGCAGCAGGCAGCCTTGAGCGTACAAACGCCCATATCGACAGCCCAAAGCAGTCCCGAGACGCCGAGCAGCGCTGCTGCAGGCACGACCGCTGCAGTCTGTCAGGCACCAGCCAAAAAATTAGCCGGTGCAGGCAGCAGTTCTTCCTCGACTTCCTCCTCGTCATCATCGTCGTCAGAGCAACAGGAGGGTGCCGGCAAAAGAGGACAGAACTGCGGTGCTGCTACTGTTCCCACGAGCAAGTATAGTGCGGTGACTGCCCAGCAGTTGCAGCAATCACAGACTCATTCGGCAACTACCAATCAACAGCAGCAGCAGCAGCAACAAGCACAGAGTCCGAGTCAAGGACTGCCCACGGCTAATGCACAGAGTGCCGCGCCTGTCGTACCAACGCTCATGCACGTAATACCTCAGCCACTGGTATGTTCATCGTCATCGTGTGCTAAGAGTTGAGCTATTTAAGAAGTGTTGAGTGTCAATATTTAAAATTTGTATCATAATACTGCTAGAGTAGTAGGGTAGGATTTTTATTGTGATAATTTAATTTTGGTCAATGTTGGCAATGAATTCTTCATTAGTATGTAGTATTATTTTTAGAATTTATTTTATACATACATTTCGACGGATCTTGACATTCAACATAACGTCTAATTATTTTAACACGATTTACTTGTTTTCAAGATTTTCTCATGCTGATGAACGTAATTGATTAGTTAGTGCAAAGAAAATACAATACTAAAACTGTAGAAAGCCTTTATTAACATAGTTGTTGTTATTGTTGTTACTATTGAATATTATTATTATTATTATTATTATTTCTAATAAATTTTTGTGTAGAATTTAAATTTAAAAAATGAGTCTTTATTATTTTAACAGTCTGAACAAAGTATGAAAAAAAAATTTTATCTTCTAGCATCTTTCCTGAAAATCGACATTACAAACAGGTTTGATTTTCTTCAGTTTTTAGTTTTCTTTGTTCTAAAAGTTTTAATATTGAAAGAATGTAAATAATTCATCGAACATTATAATGACAGAAATCAGTAATTTAAAAACTTTTAAGCTTCATGCAAAGTATTTAAGAAGAAAATAACTTGCTCATTATATAATGAAAAATTATGCTAAAGTGTACATATTTCAATCCTTTGAACTTATCGTTTGTATCTTTCAAAATGACTTAACAAATAAAATTAAAAAATTCAAGTACAAATGAAGATGGTTTTTTTTTATATGTATCTTCACATCACAATCAACTTTTTTTTTTTTTTTTTTTTTTTTTACGCTGAGCTTGAGTATATTTAAATAAGAATGTTTCGTTTTGCATTTTGTCATGTTTGTAAGGTTTTACATTGCTATGCCTATAATCAATACTGCATCAAGTCATAATAGTTTTCAAAATATGAACAGATAGCTAGTAACGTAGATAAAACAAATTTTTACGAATTGCTAAGGTGAATAAAAATCGAAGAAGCTTTGCCTGTCCAGTAAATCTTAATTTTTGTATGTCCAGGTACTGCAGCAGCCACTGCCAATAAGGAACACTGGTACTGGTACAATTAGGGAACAGATGGCAACGCCTCCAGCGAATGCCTACGTGAGACCGGGCGTCGGCCCCGTAGGTGTCACAACAGGCCCGTCACGTCGAAAACCCGTGAGGACCGTGGACGGCCGAAATCAATCGACGGAGCCACCACCCCCGCACTAACGAGACCTCCTCTTTATTTACCCCCTTCAGCAACACCACCCGCGCACTATCATCATCCCCGCAATCATTTCCCTCCTTCAACTGTTGCCGGAGATCACACGTTTTAACACACCCTCCTTGATACTGACATTTCCTCACCTTCGTACGAATTCTCGTTTCCTTTACTTCCCGCATTATTTTTTTCCCGAGTTTATCCAAAATTTGTATTCGGTTCGTTGCTGTACACGAAAAAAAACGTGCAAACGAGGAGAAAATAAAGGCTCAAGAGTGCGAGGCAAAAACAAAGAAAAATCGGTGTATCAAAATACATGAAGCAACGAGGAAGAGCGCGAAAGAGACAGAGCAAAAAATAATACAAAACCTACTAGCACTAGTCCTAGCACTGTTTAGAACACCTCGTCATTATTGTTATATTATTATAATTTATCTATAACATTTACTTACGGATTTTATTCATTCATTTTTCATGATGCGTATTAGCGAGGAACAAAAAAAAAAATATTGTGAGATTTCATTTTTTTTTTCCGCGTTCAGTCGTGAAAAACGCTGCTACACGCACGTCCTCTTTGAAATGATAAAAATAAAACAAAAAATATATAGTTTCACGTGTATAATGTCACAAATGGTTTACGTACTGTCGATTCGTTAGAGTGCAAAAAACAAATGCGAGAACGACGATTTAAACTAATGAAAATAAAGACGCTTGTGTCTCGTTATAACTAACGTTGATAATTAATCTACCTTTGTCATAAATACCCTATTTTATGTAGAAAATTACTTGCAACAAAATGTTAGTGAATTTGGCTTGTTGTATGATACATTATTCAAAATTTGCAAAGACTTTCTTTCATTTTAATTTTTTTTTAGTAAAAAAAATCATCAAATTTGTAAGCGCGTTTTTTTATTCGCAAGTGCTATAATTTTTTTAACTACTTCTCTTCCACGGCTAAAAATTGGTTGTTTTAAAAATTCTGTTTAATTTTATAACAGTTAATGTTAATGTTTTTTCTCTCCTTGCAGTACGAGTATCTTCTGAAACTCTGCGCGTTTCATTTTGCCAATCATTGTTAAGACTTGAAACCTTCAGAAACCTTGTGTGAAACCATCATAGTTATTAAACTCAAAGGGATGGCTTCAATTACTTTGAATAAATTTTTAATCTCCGTAAATGTATACTTTGTGTTAAACCATAAAGTTTGTCTATTATGAATACAAGTGAGCTGTGTTTATAAATAACGAAAATGTTTCCAGTTACTTACTGTTGTTTCTTTACTTCTGCCTGACAAGAAAAAACGGTCTTTGATTCTCACTTTCCCAGTTTTTTTTTTTTTTTTTTTTTTTCTTCATCAACATGACAACAAATAAGTCAATAAGATACCTATGACCATAAAATTTTCTACTATGAAAAATAACGATCAAAACCGTGACTCTGTTTTGTTGAGAGCAACTCGAAATTCGTATACCTATACTTAAAACTTTCACGTAATTCACGCAAGCGATTAATACTGCTAAAGAAGAATAACAAAAGAGGTAATTAACAGCCTCGCTCAATAATTTTTTATTTAAAAATTTTTTTAAATTATTTTTCTAATTAAATTTTACAAACATGTGCACACCGCATTTGACACACGACGCATATTTTAGACAACAGGGCGTCTTTTTAAATTGCGTCATAAATTTTTTGTCTCAACTTTATTGAAAAAGGGAAAAAAAAAAAAACATCTGATCAGGTTTACATTTATAGAGCTGGCAGTGAAAATAAAAACTGATCAATCAAGAAACACAAAAAAAATTTCCACCCATTGCCAGAGGTATTGGGGGATGGTGATACGACTCTAAATTTTTATATGAACTAAACTTCAAATTTATGTTGATAAGATTAACGAAAATGAATGAAGTACTGAGCAGTAATTTTAAAAGACGTTTTCCAAACATTTTTATTTAGCTCTCAAGCGTCTTTGAAGAAAAATAACAAGTAAATGCCCGTGTTATGCGCTACTAAACGTTAAACCATTCAAGCAGTAGAATTGTCAAGCACGTATAATTTATAAGGGAGACTTGAGGGGAAAGTTATTCAAACGTAAGATGACTATATACAGGAGAACTTATAGGTGATCAGAAAATAAGGCGTGCTTTTGAATAGCATCAATGATACGTTGAAGCTCGTATTAAACGTATGTAATTGTTTTCTTTCTGTACATATTTATAAATAAAAAAAAATAAAATAAAAATAATTTGTATGAATGAAATATATTTGTGTGAATGATAACGTGATATACGCATGAAAAAAAGAAGAAAAAAAAATACAACCCAACAATTACATATACACAACAGCGCATCAAACGATTTCTCATGGATTTTTCAGCAATCAGACACAAAATAATAAATTGACAAGATTTTTTTTTAACTCTTTTTAACTTAACGAATTGTTGAGTTTCCAGAAAACAGCTGAATAACATTTTGAAAGTGTTCAAGAAAGGTCAAGAATGGTTATTGAAAAATTAAAACATGAATGTTGTTTTGTATTAGATACTGATTAAACAATTTCAAGCAGAGAAATGCGTGTTTTTTATTCTTGTTATTGCTATGATTACTATAATACTTATTACAACTAATACTATTAGGATTATTATTACTAAGTATAAATAGGCAAGAGGTAAAGAGAATATACAATGTAAGAGGAAAGCGCAGAGCATATATAAATATAGATTATTATATGGGTTGTGTGTTCTTCTGATTGTGAGGTTTTGTTACAATACGCCGTTAATGCTATACAAAATGAATGATAAAAATAAAAGAAAAAAATTCAAAGAAAGTCTCAAGCAATTTTTCAGTGTGCCGTTTTTATCATCGATGAAGTAAACTTCTTTTACCATCACTCCATACTTTTTGTGTTCTATTACTGACTTTATCATCAAAAGCAAGTAAATACACTCTATATTTTATTGTAATGAAAATACTAACCGTGAAAATAAAAAATTGTTAGAAAGAAAAAAAAACATTTGAGAATGAAAAAATTATTGAGTCTTTCATTTTTACATACCACATATACCCACCATAGCTAAAGTTTTTAATATGTTCTGAATGTTTCTAATCATGAGGCATGTATTGAGCGTTGTATCATATTGGCACAGGTGTTAGACTTTTGATTTAAATAATATTTTTTCATGATTATAGGTAACATAACAAAAAACAGTTATAAATTATTTCAAAAATTTAACGCAAGTATTTCTATCGCTATACGTAAAATACACATCACGCATGCATTACCTCGCGATAAACAATTGAAACTAACTCCTTGTCACTGACAGAAGCCCACGTTTCGAAAATGGCATACTTACTTATTCTGTTATTATCGCCGCGTCGCGAAGAGCGAAAGAGCGTGAAGTCGTGAACGGACCGTGTAGGTAGTGAGTCCGTGTGTAGCAGTCGCAGTCTCAGTCTCAGAAGTTGGTTATTAGCGGTTTGTTGTCATATTTTTTTTTTTAAACTACTAGCTATAAGTATACTGAATTGACTATTGAAATTGTAATGGAAGGAGTGATATTTCTAATTAAATAGACGATTAATTTGTTAAGATTGGAAAAATCAATTATTAAGTTTGAAATATATTGTAGGAGCCGTTTTCCTTGCTGTAATGGCAGAGGACGAGGACGCGCGTCCGGTACCCGAAGACAATAATGAACTTCATACTGAAGAAAAAGAAGAACAGTACCAGGAACAAGCAACCATCGAACACAACGAGCTAGTAAAACTAACCAAGGAAGCTATCAGAAACATCATAGAGAGTGACCCGCTTCTGAGGGTTTTGCCCATTGATCCAACGGTCGAAGAAATTAAAGCGCAATGTGCTGTTGCCCAAGGACAGGCTATCGTTGTGTATTTAGATCGAAATGTGCTGCCGAGATTGTCGATTGTGGTAAGATTTTGTTATTTAATAATTCTACTGTACTTAGTTAGCTAGAGTGTTTTTTCTCTGATAACAGTTGATTGTTATGATTTAATATTTTCCAAATTTGACTCGCTTTTTTATTTTAATTATGGTTTAAGCATTAAAAATTAAAGATTTTATTGCACTTCCTTTGTTAAGGTACCGCCCAAAAAGACTACTGTATTGGATTTGAAAAATGCAATAAAAAGACACACAAGCTTAGCACTAAAAAGAGAAAAAGTCAACAAAAAAATCAGCTGGAAGCACGTTTGGAAAAAATACGATCTCTGCTATGACGACATTGTATTGGACAATGATCACGAGGAGATGGAAAATTATGGCATTTGTAATAAATCAACCTTAAGGTATAAGAAGAAAAGAAAACAAAAAAATTAGGGATAATTAACTCAAAATATTTCATTTGTACGAATTGTAAATAATTAATAATTTAAGATTCAATTTTTAAATACAATACACGTCACTTTTCATTTGAGCTTTCCCTTTCCTCATTAGGCTCGAGAATTTTTACAGTTAGTCCAGGTACAACATCTTCCAACATCATACAACTTAACTCAAATGCTGATGATTTATTATTATTTGTGACAATTAGAGTTTTTAATGTTGAAAATCTATAAAATGCTTCCAGAGCTCTTTCATTCACTTTTGGACAATCTGTGAGATCCAGATACTCCAAACTTGGAAATAAATGTGATATTCTGTCTGCAAACCATTCATCAAATAATGGGGATCTTTGAAATATTGCAGTCTTGATTCTAGGACAATTTTTAAAATTTTCAAGACCTTCGTAGAAAATTTCTACATCACTCAAGTCTATTTGTGTTATAATGTAGTTTGGATCAAACACTGAAGGCAACAGCTCGAAATCTCTTCTACTTGCACCCATCCACTTCTCGCTATGCTTAAATTTAACTTTTCCATCGTGCAACAAAACAAATTGGGCAGCTGCTATGTCGCTTCCCATAAACTTTACATTATCTTCTTTATAAGACTGAGCATTTATCATACTTTCAACAGATTTATTTTGAAGGAATTTCTTTATTCCTCGAGTAGAAAATTCTATATCTGCCTGAAAAAGCTTGAAGGCTTCTATATCCATTTCAAAGAAAGTCCGACGGACGTTATGTTTGTCGACATAATCATCCTTCACAAGACTGTCACCTTTGTGCATCTTCAAGCCATAAAGTTGTTCTTCCTTCCGCACTTCATCGGGATCACGTTTTACTCTTTTACTAGACATCATGAGTGAAGCAGAAGTTGACAGTGGTTGAATATTCAACGGTAGTATGATGTTTTTTGAAAGTTTGACAGCATCAAAAACTTTTAGAGACAGCATTTTTGATTAGTATATTAGCTCGTTCCTGGTATTTACGAACATAAATTAAAGGTCATCACTAAAAATTAATTATAAATTAGTTTATTTAAGTATTTGCAATCACGAACAAAATAAAACTACTCTGAGAAAAATGCTTACTTTTGTCGTAATGGAAAGAAATCCAACGCAAGACATGTTTCGGCCAATTAGTTTTGTTTTGCCATTCGCTCAACTAAACTTGTACTAACATTCTATATATATATATATATATGTAATGTACATTGTCTGTACTAACCTCTTTTATGGCAAAAAACTAGACTCTCTGGACTCTCGCTTTATCAGAGTTGCCTGACACTACTTATATATGTTGTCAATTTTCTTACCATTATTTTTTCTTATGTGGTTGAAAAAATACGAATTACTTTACTTAAGTAAGTAGATGCAAATTAAAAAAAGAATCGATTGACTTTAATTTTTTTAATTTACGCGCTCGACCGCCATTAATGTTCAGTTGTTGTTTGTTTAATTGTTTTGTAAATTGTAATGTGTTGTCGGAGACTCGCACATGCGCAGTTAAAAATTTGGTTATTTTTGGTACGCTTTTTTTTTAGAGGGGAGAGGGTTTTGGGGTTCTGTTTGTTTATTTTGATTTGGAAACGATGAAAATATTTAAAAAATGACAGAAGACGACAAAGTGGGCACATTAGTCGATGAGGCCTTAAAGCGCAAGGAAAGACTGCAGAGTTTAAAAAGAAAAAACGAGGAAAATTCACAAGACATTCAGGATGGCCAAGTCAGCATACTTCCAGCGTAAGTACTTGTGATAACGTTGATGATACTAACCTCAAAAATCTCAAATTTGCTCATTTTATTATTGTATTTTATTTGTAGGCCGAAATTCAGAAGTTACAAGCCACAGGATGAAAACTTGAAGGAAAAAGCTCTGGAAGATGGTAAAGCTGGTGATATCGAGGCTGAGGTACAGGAACAGTTGGAAGCTGCCACTATCAAGCCAGTGATTGAGGAATTGGTGAGAAAAATTGTTTATTGTTGTTCTAGAACTTCGCTAAAACCTACAAAGTACAAAATAGTGATTCTGGTCGTTTTTTCATGCACTACTACAAAAAATATACACTGTTACATTAACTTTAGGATGTATTTTTTATATTTCATTTTTGTAACAGGATATAAGTAATCTTGCTCCAAGAAAACCAGATTGGGATCTCAAACGGGATGTTTCGAAAAAACTCGAAAAATTGCAAAGAAGAACTCAAAAGGCTATTGCAGAGTTGATATTGGAAAGATTGAAGAAGGAACAGGATTTGGCAACGGCTGTCAATGTTGGGAGTGAATTCTCTTCAAAAACTTGAGTGTAAATAATTTTTTTTCTTCTGTAAATACGATCCATAAACTATTTAAGCTTAATTACTCAGTTATAGTTTTTTTGCATCAAATATATTTTCTATTTAATCACATGTGGTAATATTGATTCTGATGAACAAAAGTTTCAAACAAAATTCAAGTTTTACTACTTTTTATTCATAGCTTGATGATTATTTTATAAGAAAAAAATACTGCGATCGATTTTTAGAGTTATTCAAGTCTTAGCTGCTAAGTATGTTACAATGAATTTTAAAAAAGTTATACACATTGATAAAAAATAAACAAGTTGCATTACTAGACTTACTTCAAATATTTTATGATTACACGATACGAATTAGATGGCTATCACTTTGAATCTTAAAAAAAAAAAAAAAAAAAAGAAACAGCTCTTTTACATGGGCTTATTTGAACTTGTTCGTGCGCATAAAGTTTATTGCTGTTACACTTTTATGCAAAAAATCTAAGCTTTTAAGCAATTTGCACAATCAAAACACATATTCCTTTAGTATAAAAATTGCACGTCGCTGTCAATCGCGTTTCTTCCTTTTTCATCGTGTATATTGGTATCTGACATCCAAACTTACTTTATGTGCTGTACTCTTTACTTTTTTTTTGCAAAGTAGAAATCATTTTTGTCAATACAATTTTCGTACAAATCTAAAAAATTCGCTAATTGTACTTGAATGCATGAAACTAATCTAAATAAAATACATCTTTATCGTGGTGTAAAGATGATGGATAAATGTATATCCGTAAAATAATTCCGAATTCGAAACAGAAGTTAAAAAAAAAAATGTACCTAGGATATAACAAACAGCAAAATAACCGCGTCCTGTTGTGAAACATTATTTTCCACATTAACAATAATACATAGGAACTATTAGTACACACGTACTCGGCTTTACAAATTTAAATCTAATTTGCTAATCACATTGATTATACTATTTAACGTAAAAAACAAAACAAACTTATTGCAACGAGATCTCGCTGTGTTTTCACAAGGTCGTTTCTTTTCTTTCTCTTTCGAATCCAATGGGGGAAAAAAAACCATCTCGCACCTCCAAGTAAATTTTTTATCAAGAGCAAGCGACTGCATGAACAAAATCTACGATCCGCGCTCAGCCCCGAGCGTTCAGATGTACTTGCACAGCGTCGCTTGCTGCTGTTGATCGACAAATATTCGCTCGGCTTCTCGACACTCGATGTTATTGCGTGCAATCTCTTGCGTCGGTTGCCTATAATTAACGTTCTGAAAAGAAGCGGTTGGCATCGTCATAATCATATTCACATAGAAAGAGCTGAGATTGCGAATAGCCGCGAAGCTCTCGGCCCTGGCTTTGAACACCTGCATCGTGTCCCTTAGGTCCAAGTGCTTAAGAGCTTGGCACCTCTGCAGATAGTCGAGCGTGACTTCGGTGAGTAGCCGACACCCGGACATGTTGAGGCTAACTAAGCTTGTGATCGTCTTCGCAGGCGGTGTTGTGAGCTGGGCCACCCCAGCATCAGTTAATCGCGTGCATGATGCCAAATCGAGCGACTCGATGTGCGGCAGATGCTGGGCGATGTAGCGGAGCGTCACATCTGTTATATCCGTATTACAGAGTGACAAGCTTCGCAGATACTTGAGACGAGACGTTTTATCAATTAAACCTGACATCGCGTCGCTTGGTGGATTTAAAAGATCTCGTACGCTCAAATCATTCAGTCCTAAAAATAATGTAATATGTCAGTGTTATACATATATGTATTAATAAATGTTTTCAAAATTATCTTTGTCTGGATTACCTCCTACAAAGCTTAAATCGAGCTTCGTCAGGGGTGGACAAGAGGAGGTATTGAGAGCACAGACTCCATACCAATGACAACCCTTGAGCGACAAATTCCGAAGCTGTGGTAACCTGCAGAGCAACCACACCAACTGTTTCTTAGCTATGTTCGTCCAATCGAGTATGAGCGTCTCGGGTTGACGTTTCATTATTCCGGACAGATGAGCGGCTGTCAAAGAATCATGCGCCAAGTCAATTGTTCTCCATAGACTGGAATCGAAACTGTAACGAGCCCAAGTCCTGCAGACGCAGGCAGTATTAACGAGTTCACTTGGAGATAAGTATTTAAATATCGACAATAAGGCTATCTTATTGTAAATGTACGGTTGTTGGAAATATTCGATCGATTGGTGCTTCAAAACTGGCAAAACTGATCGCACGGCTGCATACGGCTTTTTGGTGACGTTATGTGTATTGTAACTACTGACTACTTGTGTGGTTGACTGATGATTTTCGGTAATTGTTTGCTGTTCGCTTGATGTTTCCGCACTTGATATCGACACTGGTGTAACTTCCTGTTCCTGAGAGATCTAAGGCACCAAAAAATTATATCATTCGAACGGAAATTAACTTTTTTAACCGACAAATATGCTTTGTTAAAGTCGTAATGAATTAATCGTACCTCGTTTTTGAAGTCTTCGTCTTCAACCCTCATCTTCTTCACAGGAGTGTTAATTTTTTCGGAATCTACATCGTTGCTGCCCGACACAGACATTTTTCGCGGTCTCCCACTTGGTCGGCGTAATTTTTGATTCCTTCCAGCCTCACAGCAATCGGGACACTCCCAACTGTTGGGCATGTCGTCGCTGATAACGGCCGAACCCTCCAAATTGCCGCGGTTGAGACACGTCGGATGCACGATTTCGGAACAAATCGAGCACTCCATAAGATTTGAAAGCGCAACAGGCGCCTGTTTGCCCATGAGTGGAGCTGGCTTTTGATTCCAGCCGTCCAAGCCGCAAACCTTACACGCAGCTTTCATAGCTAGCATAGGTCTCATGCACTTGCGCTGCAAACAGGTCTGCTTGGCTCTGCCGGTACCACCAAACTTGATCATATCCAGACAATAAACACATTCGCCGCAGTCACTGCGCGTGCAGGCCTCGCACTTTTTACATCGGGTCCTCCTGTGCTTTGGTCCGTTGGATTTCAATTCGCATCGACCCGATGGTTGCCTGTACGTTTTCTTCCTGCCGTTCATTTTTTCGTTGTCACCGATCGTCATTAGCGGTGGTGCGGGAAGAACGGGTGTTCCGGTAATGGCCAGTTCGTGGCTGTCGTGCCTATGTTGTTCAACGAGGCAGCGCACGTCGTGGATCAGAGCGACTGGATCGCGGATGAGTTCGGGCACATTTTTCTTGGTCGACGGAAGCGAGTGGAGGTACATGACTATGGACTTTAGGCCGTGGAGTTCCAGAGGCGTCAAGTGAATGTGTTTCGAGTCTTGACGCGTGGATTGATTTTGGTTACGGACCTCTGGTGCTTCAATGTGACTTCTGTCGAGGAGTATATGAACGTATCTCTCGAGAACATACCTAAAAAAAAAAAAAAAAAACCACGGTGAAAATTTGTATCAACGTGAAACTAGATTTATGTATCTAGAACCCTTATACTTACCACAACATCTCTGTAAAGTAGGGATATCGAAATTTGTGAGGTACTTTGGTTGTTTCTTCGACTTGAGCCACCCTTAGTTGCTTGTCGATGCCAAAACTGTGTAAAAAGTTACCTCCAAAAACAAGTGAATCATCCGGAGTAAAAACAGCATGTATCCATCCTGTGGGTATGAACATTGTATTTCCGGCACTCAATGTTATTCTACCGCACTTGTCGACCATGTCTCCGAAAAATGTGTCCGATTGCTTTCCACTCAAGACCCACTTTTCGTACAAAGCTATATTTTTCTCCGTGGGTGGAATGAGCCAAAATATTTTTCCACCTTTGAGAATGTGATACCAAACGCTCGTACCACCAAAGTCAACGTGAAAGTCGGTGTAACAACCTTTTACGGACATCAAACAGTATTTTTGTACCTTGGGGTACATCATATCCTCGAGCAGATTCGTTGCCTCGGTCTGAGCATCTTTCAAATGCTTGGGCCAGACGACGTCGACCCAATCGATTTGCCTCACGATTTTGGGTTGCTGTACGTAGTGCTCTAGTTTAGTACGACTAAACTCTAGCGAAATAACGTTCAACAGACGAGTTTTGTTTGGATCCTCGTAATATTTTTGCCACTCTTTCATCGTCATTTCTTCGTTCTTTTGGGTATTGACATCCATTACGTCCACGAGTCTTCTCGATCCTTTACGAAAGCATAAAATAACACTTATTTTATTTATTTTCTTTGAAACAATTCAGTGATTCACGTTTAAAAACGTAATAATGAGATAACGAGGCTTCTTACCGACGCACGTCCTAACGTCGTTGACCGTGAAATTCGTACTTGGCACTCGCAAACCAAGACCTGTCTTCTCTTTCACCAATATAGGAATTTGAAGTCCATTTTTCTGTAGATGCGCCACTGTTAATTCGGGACCAGTCATTTCGCAATAAAACCCGTGAAAATTTTCCAAACTGTATTTGGTGCTTTCGATCTTCTCCTCCACTTGAAAGCCTCTCCGCCCTTCGATTTCATCATCACCAAAGGCCCAGTCGTCCGTGTAAAGTTTTTTCGTTCTTTCTCTCTGCAAAAACACAAAATTTCTCAATCGGTGATTTAACGACTTGTAGTTACCGAAAAACTAGAGACCGTCGACACAACATCCGAAACGCAGCGCAAGCTCTCGCTCGGTACTTTGAAATAAACCGCTGGTTGACGATGTTCGCGTTTTTTCAAAGTTTCTTAAAAACTTTAATTCGAAGCACGACAAAGCATTGCTTAGAGTATTTTGGTGTATTATTTTCTACAAAACGTTACTAAACGTACGTTCATTTGTCGATTTTACTTTGAGTGCAAGCTGCAATTTTTACAAGGGATAAACAAATATACTCTACTCTTGAAAGATTTATTTAGTGATTGTTGAAAAAAAAGAAAAAAAAAAAAAAAAAAAAAGAAAACGATTGTTGTTAACGATCAAACGTAATTTTTGAGTCTAAAATAATTCAAACGAAAATGTTATAGGCTTTGTTTTTCGTACGAAAATAATCACAACAGAGAACGTAAGTATTATCACGGCAGTACTGGTTTCAATTTTAAATCGGGAGCTTACCGAAAAGCTCGCACACTGTCAAAACTATAACGTAAACTGTAATTAAAAGCCCCAACTATTCTGACTATATAGATTAAACGATAAAAATTGCGGCTGCTATAACAACTTTTCGACATGTTACATCATACTAGACTCTGAAAAACAATGAATTACCTATTGAACTCGAAAATACACGTAAACATCCAAATTGTCAAGTGACACTTATTGCGAGTATCACCAGTGTCAAACAATACGATTTCACAGCTACAATTTACACCAGCCAACATAATCATCAAAGAGATGTACTTTGATGTTGTAAAAATCTCGGTCACATTTAAAATATCGTTCAAAGCGGCTCCTTCCCACGTATACTTTTAAATTTGTAAACTCACGGCAACTATCCCCTCGTCCTACCTTTCATGTGGCCCCCTAAAATTGCTATCAAAACTGAAAGAGCATCCAAAGTAAAAACAACTCGCCCATCAAAATAATTAGGTTAATAGTAACCAGAGAGACATGTGGATCATTTCCCAATGAAAAATTATGCCAAAAACAACGTAAAAATCATGATTTTGGTGAAAAAGAAAAAAAGCCAGTCCCGACGACAAAACCTGATGTGCGGTCAGTCGCAGTCAGTCAGTGGAGCGCAAGGAGCGCGGACCACGAGGTGCTTGGCGCGAGAAACAAAGTGTCTGCAAGTAGGTACAGTGACCAAAACTGGGAGCAGAAAAAAAAGAGAGAGGCTCGTTTGTTTATTTACCAATTGGCGTCGGGGTGGTGGTGGTAACTGGACCTTGCCCCTGCCTCCTGGAGGTTGTGGTTGCTTCTGCTGCTGGTACTCAGCTGGCGCTTGCTGATACCTCTCCGAGTCAGCCATTGTCGAGTTAACACCCAACTCGGACGAGAGCTTTTTTTTTATTATTCTCGGCGATGTAGGGGCTGTGCTCCACTTCTCATTGGGTACTCATCGAGGCACCTGTGACGTCTTCTTCTGGAGCTCCCTTTTCTCCGGGCGTTACTTCTTTCCGCAAGCGTACTCACGACCGTTCTCTCTCCTTGTAGGTGGGTGGTGCATATATAATTAAACTTTATGTACGCGTATAACTACACGCGATAAACAAATAGAAAAGGAGGAAGAGCTGTCCGCGTGTGATTGGGGATTCAAGCTCAACTCGAGAGAGCTCCTGCGGTAGGCAGTAGAGCAGCCCTTCGTGCGTATTCAAGAAAAACAGAGCAGAGCACTAGGTAAAAGCCAGGAGTTGCGAGTGTGTACCAATATATACCTATATTCCCGTCGGCCGCCGTACTCTGTGTTCACCAAGTCACGTATGCCACCCTGCCTGTGATATATAGATATATCGATGCGTGTGCGCGTTATGCATTTTTGCCTCTGTCCGTGCCCATGCGCACACGCAGAGAGATGAAAAAGTCTCCATCAAAGAAAACGTCGGGAAAAGAGAGGAAAAAGAGTAACAATTTACACCTTTCATGTACTTATAATACACAGCGTAAAATATCCTGCGGTGGCTTTTGTTTATAAGTACGCTTAATACAAAATTAGAGCTACGATGTAAATATGAGATTGCAATTTTCTGCCAAACTGTGTGCGAATCAAAACAAAGGGTTGAAGGGATGACGTATAATGCGCCAATTTAACATCGAACTTATTTTTTCAAATAATCCCTTTGGCATCGTGAAAATGGCAATGTAAAATTTTCATGCGTTTCAGGTTATGTCGTACACACTATTCGTAATACATACATACATACATATATATGTATATACATTGTTTATGTCACTGACTGAAGACAAAAAAGCCTTCTGCTACTTATTTTGGAGTCAGCATTCAGCATATATATGTCTTTCGATAAGTTTGATCGAATATGAAAATGTAAAGTATATATATACGGTAAGAATATGATATTTTTGCTGTGTACTCTTTCAGCACTGTAGAGCTGAACTTCTCGCAAATAAACTTGACAAGTATGAACCGTTTTTTGTCCCTAAGTAACTTAGTAAAATGTTTTAATATATCATTGCAGTAAAAGTATATAGTGGCGCCTCAAGATGGCAAGTAAGGAGAGGGTACTTGTTAAAAAAAGGCCGCCCATCGCTTCGGATTTTAACAAAGCGATTGCAGAGTACTTTTCGTCTAAAAAAGAGGAGCAAGCCACTGTAATCAAGTACGTTAAAACATATACTTCTAGCTTAGTACCACATTCGTAATCACACTACAGAAAGATGGTTTAAGCACCTTTGAAAAAAGCTCGTTCACCTGCAAGCAACACCAAAAGCACCGCAACAAATAATCAAATCCCAACCATGATTCAAAGTAAGACCAATAGCGTATTGATTTTTGCACGGCTAGTTCTGAGCTCAACTGTATACCTAAATTTTGCAATCACACATATAAGTAGATTTACTCCACACCTGAAAATACTTTCTGAGAGTATAAACTAGTAGGATTATTGCATACGAGGCCCGTTCGTTGCAGTGTAGTAGTTCAAAATAAATAGTCTTCGGTTACGCATGGTTATTTACAATTTGTCATCCACACAAGTGTGCGCTAAGGTAAAAATAACGGTCCATATCGCAGCCTAGCTATAGAGAATTTACCCCGGTTAAAGCGTGTACAGTAAAGATCGTGTTTAAAAATGATGAACCCTCTCCTCAGACACTACCCAGAATGGGACGACGTGCGGGGCGAGCCCCTGATCGATCAAGCCCGAGCGCGCCGGGAGCTTTTGATCGCCGAGGCCGAGTTGCAAGCCAAGCGCCTCGAGTACCAAGCGCGTCGTCAATCATACGAGCAGCAGTGGCAAGACCTTCGCGAGCAGGAGCAGCAGCTGCGAGCCTCCTTCGTCCACTTTGACGAGTTTGTACGTGAGAACAGGGACAAGCGCGAGCGCGCCGAACGCAAAATCGTCATCGAACGGGATCGGCAGAAGATCAGGGAGGCTGAGGTACAGATGACTTTGTTGATGATCCTTTGATGTGCGTGGCCAATAGCGGATGAATCGTGTGTGTTGCGCAGATCTTGGAGCTGGACAAGAACTTGGAGAACATGGAAAAGGTGCGGGACAAGATGAAACGATACGTGGAGGTGTACAGGCCGTTTCAAGGCTACTTGGAGAAAATTCTTGAGAACAAGGAGTTTAACTCGATAGCCGGGATATTCAATCGTTACGAGGTCCTGGTAGCCGCCAGGAATTCACTCGAGGACTACCAGAACCGCAATCTTCGCACTCTAGAGACGACCAGCTCACAACTGGTACACGCGCAATATTTATTGCCATGGAAATACACCCGTGACGATTAAAATGCATGTGTTGCTGCGATTGACTTTAGCAAAAAATGACGGAAGAAAAGTCCCAGAGCTTGATGGACCTGAACAGGCGGCTCGCCCAGTTGCGGGACAGACACGAGCGAGCTCGAGCCAAGGCTGTCCACTGGGAAACCATGGTCTCGCGCATCAAGGACGTGTGCTCGCAAAAGGAGCTCGAGGAAACCCAGGTATAAGCGCGCCCTGACTTCGCGTGACGCGCGATGACAAAATAATCTTATATGCATTAAACAGGTGCGCGCCTGCATCTGGAACCTGTATCGGCAGATCTGCAGGCGCAAGGGTGTGCCGATAGAGCTTGATCGCTCGGAACTCGAAGAGCAGTTGCACCACGTCAAGAGGACGATCCTCGAGCTGGGCAAGATCGTCCACGCGGCCAAGAAAAAGACTGCGAGAGAAAAAAGGGAAAGGGAAGCTAAAGGCAAGGCCGGAGCTAACGCGGGAACTGCTTCTTCGTTGTCCACCGGTGCGGCCATTAAGCTCAAGGAGGTCAGAAGTAGCTCAAAAAAGAACAGCTGTCCCAGCTCTACGGACGACACTCACAGCACTTGTAGTATTTTCAAAAAGAACTAAATAATGCGAGAGTCAATAAATCACAATGTGGCTCACTGTCAAAGACGAGAGAGAGTTTTATTTCGTTTTTTTTTTTTTTTTTTTTTTTTTTACAAAAAAATCACGTAGTCTTTGCGTTAAAATCATTGGTATCGTTTCTGAATGATTTTCCGCGCAGCTGGCAAGTGGCAGGCGGACACGTTGTGCAGAAGGTGCGAATGGTCGTGCTCTAGTCGTTTCATCAACTTCTTGTGCACTTCTTCCTCCGTCAGGGGGACTTCCGGGCCTTCGGACACGTTTTGCATTTCCTCCTTCTCCACGCATCTTTGCGACAACAAACAAGGATTTTCAGTATACAGTTGTTTTGAGTTACATGTTACATGCTCGGGTATGAGTAGTATATGTTACTCGATAATCCGACACGTGTTGCAAAACAGTTATTTGTTCAGTATTCAAAACAAGTCATTGAGGAAACCAATAACAATAAGCATATAAATATCAGAATCGAAGGTCGGAACGTAATAATATCATCTTGCGAACGGAACAAAAAAAAAAAAAAGAAAGACAGAGAGGGAGAGAGAAAATACACGCGTAGCGTATACATTACGAGTAATACGGGAGAGCAATCGAGTGAAATAGCATACTTCAAACTACTTCCTTTGAAATTGAAGTAGGCAGGCGCATAGAGATATACTTACCAGTACCCATAGCGAGGGCAGCAAGTACAAAAGTACAAGTATACATACGAAGGAGGCAGGCAAGCGTGGACGTTAAATGAGTAAGTAAGGGGAATAAGGATAGGGGTAGGGAGAGAGAGAGAGAGAGAGAGAGAGAGAGAAAAGGATACTCACAGGGGACAGGGCTGGGTGGGCGCGATTTCGGTGATGACGGGGATCTGGAGCTTCGGCTTCCGGGCCTCGTCGAGGCGCAGTTCCGGCTTGTTCCTATCTACCCAGTGCATCTTGTTCATCATCTCGACCAGTCGCTTTTCTATTATACCCAGGTACAGCATCACGTTGTTCATCGTCACTTGGCTGTTGTCACCTAGGAGCTCCAGCAGGGGCGAATCGTCGCATTTTATGCTCGCGAAAAGCATCTCTATGCCCTTTAATAGCTTCTCCATTGTTTCGTTGCTCTGAAGAAGAAAAGGAAAAACACATAATTATATTTATACATATATAGTCAAAGCGAATAAAAGACCTCGTTAAATTTGCGCTCGGCCGAATTGGCTAGATTAGTCTGCTCCTGTAGCCTTTGGGCAATCAACTCTAAGGTTTCGGCCTGCTTTTGCCCTCGATGAACGTTTAACGCCCGAGCTGCGTCTATCGCGAGCCGCAACTGCTCGACGCGCGTCTGAAGCCCCTCCAGTTCGTCGTTCAATTCGTTCACGTAGCTAAAAAGCGCAAAGTTCTCCTCTTCCTGCTTCAAGAACTGGGCCGTCAGCTTGTCTATTTCCGTCTCGCCTGTTGTGTTTCATCATCATCATCATCATCATCATTATTGTTCGATTAAATGGTTACCAAGACGATATATCGGCAACAATCACATTATATTACCAGTGAACTGCTTGACGAGCTTCAGTATCTGGCTGTACATGGCGACCTTGTTGCGCATCTCTTCCCGCTTGGCTCTCTTCTCGGCCTGCTGCTTGGCCTTCAAGTCGTTCATCTCGCGATACTGTCCCTTCACGCCGAGGAACTCTTGGAGCTTCATCTCGTTGTCGATCGTCCGCTGCAGCTCGCACATCTCCAGCGTGTGGCTCTTCAGATCCCTCATCCCTCTGCGCACAAAAGTACACATCACGCATGCATATACACGACCGATTGTATGTATGTACATAATATATATGTATTCTTGGTTAAAGCACAAAAATGTGATGATCCCGTTACCGATCTTTCAGTGCGTTGATCTTGTTGAGCTCCTCGTCCCTCTGGTTGAAGGCAATGGTGGTCTGTTCTATGAGATCGTTGACAATGGCCTTGCCGGAGGCAAGCTGGTTGTTCAATTTGGTCCAGAGGACGTTGAAACGGGCCCGTTCCATCATCAGATCGTCGATCTCGTTGCGCAGCTTGGCATTGTCGCCGACGAGGCTGTTGAACCGCTTGGACGCCACCTCGAGCCGGTTTTCCAGGATACCGATCAACCGGTGCTGCTTGGCCATCGCTTCGACCGGCTGGAGGTCCGTTCGTTGGTCGAGCTTGAGGGCGTGCAGCTCCTTCGATATGCTGACGATCTGCTCGTCGAGTTCGCCGATCTGTTGCCTCTCGCGGCGTATCTGCTCGGCGAAATCGGCCCTACGCGCCAACAGGGCCCTCAACTGTTCGGCCATTGCCTCGTCCTGGCGCTGGTTCCACGGCGACTTGGCCGCCTTGATCGCCAACACCAGCTCGGCCTTTTCACTCTCGAACTTGTCTATCACGAAACGCTGGTTGCGTAACTGGTTGCGCGCGTCCTCGGCGTACGTCACCCGGTCGTTCTCCATTATGCGGTACTGGCGCTTCAGGCGCTTCAGCTCCAGCTCGGCCATCGTCTCCAGCTCCAGCTCGTCCTGCTCCGGTTCCTCTTGGATCATCATTTTCTTGGCCGTCTGCTACTATACCGATCTGTAAACGATCATTGAGATATGATAGTCTGTAATGGTATTACCGAACTTTTGCGCAACGTCGAATCGATCCATCTCTACGGTGTGTGTAAGTTGCGCAAGTGCTTGATCGTAAAAACAAAATGCGCTCGGTAAGAGTTCGGTAACCTCTCCCCCGACGGGTACACGCGCTACCGATTTTCTTTGAAGCAATAAAAAAAAAAAAAAAAAAAAAAAAACGAAAAGTTTATACTCCATCGGGTACCTGTGACGACAAAAGTTGAAGCTCACTATATGTGATATTTTGCAGGGATGCTCGATCGAAAATCCACCACCGGGGGGCCCACGGACAACGACCGACGAGCAAACAAAACGAGAGAGCACGTGTGGCGATCGTCAATCCTTCGACTCCAGCTGACCGGATGGGTGTATAATTTTACTCACTTCAAACTTCTCGGAATCCAACGACAGCCAACTGCAGCATCCCTACTTTCAGCGCAGGCTCGATCATCGCCGGAACTGCCGCAGGAAAATCAGGACGATTGCTCCTCTTCCTCCTCGTCATTGTCGTTGCAGCAGGGCCCGTGACAGCCGGCGCGTGCCTCGCGTTGCACGGTAAAAAAAAAAAAAAAAAAAAAGAAAAAAAAAGAAAAAAAAAAGAAAAGAAGTGCCGACGGCAGCTGCCTCTTTCTTCTTTTTTCCTCCTCCTCCTCCTCCACCACTAGTGAGTATATACACGCGTGTTGGGCGCGCGACAGCTGGTGAGTTGCTTTTTGGCCTTTTGCTTTACATGTATACGGATGGATATTGTACACTTAGCCAAAGTTGGTGGGTGTAGATGTAACGCGCACGAGTATATATTTTATGCGTTACTCGTATAAGATGCAGAATGTGTTTTTAGGAAAAGAAGATGGAGGAAGAAAAGCCCTCCGCGTTCGCTGCACAGCTGATGATGATGATGATGATGCGCACACGTATACACCAGGGAAACGGAAGTTGGCCCCTTTTACGAGCGGCTTTTCCGGTCTTCCGCTCGAGCGTCACCCCATCCGATGCTTCTTTGTGACTTTTGTTTTATATTTTCACTTAAAGGACCGGACGCTTGTATCTTGGCGGGTGTTGGTCAACAACGTGGATACCCTGAGGATACGTGATTTTTTTAAGGGCAAGGTTGGGACGAAACGTCGCTTACTTGTATAGGTACACGTATACCTGTACACCAGCTTAGGATATCGTCATTGTTGCCGTCGTACGTGTTGTTAGCCGATATAAGCCCTCGTAGCCATGGCGACACGGTCCCTATACTTGGGTAGCTTCGATTGCAAACTTATATTTATACATGTATGTAAATTGAGCTGCTTGAAAAACATGTGCTTTGCTCCTCGGCGAGTATGGTATGAAAAAAAAAAAAGCTAAGACCATTCAGCAGCATCGCTCAGTGGATCAAAGTGAGAGAGAGAGAGTCGAGATAATATGTATACACTTGGAGCGCGGATCGAGAAGACGCAATTGATGGAAAAAAGAAACAGATGGCCATCCGCATGTGTGTTTTACACGCGCGTACAAAGATGATTGACTTTGTCTCGACAGTACCAGTATACCGATACAAAATGTATATTCCAAGAGAACGAGTGCGTGCGGTGGCGGACAAACTACGTGTGCCTAAAGACACGCGCGTTTTATTATAAATAAAATATATATAATGTATAATGTATATACACGATAATACCCACCCATGCACAATGTATGTATGTAATTATACGACAACATGAAAAGTAAATCGACGAAACGCTCTTCACGTGTGTGTATATAATAATGTCAATGGCGAATGAGAAGACACGCCAGCTATTACCGTTAAGTTTGTCCGTGTCACCTCGTACCATGTACAAGTCGTTGGGCCAAAAATGTATTCATCACGCGATCCTCGAGGACACGCGCACCTGTGACATTACACCACGGGGTATCCGTTGTACGCGTACTCGTTGTACTTAATTTAATTTCTCGAGCGGGCTCGCGAGACCGATTGAAAAACCACCCGATCGTTGAAGCTCTCGAAAGCGGCAAGATGACCGGTTACACGGGTTCATCGGAGGGAAAAAAACAAAAATAAATAAATCAACACCCGTACAACTTCTTCGGGTTAACCGTACGTGTAGACCTACATGCATACCGATTTCTATAAAAAATAAAATACGCGCGCGCGTTACACGGTACATCCACACTTTGCGAGCTTTCTTGTTTGCAGCTCTTTTGGTTTTATATTGGCTAATAAGTGTGCCCAAGTTCCCAGAGATCGGTTGTTTCGTGGCCTGCGCGGGATAAAGAGATCACCGGTCGTACCCGTGCACATAAGGTTCCCCATGTCCATACGCGCATTGGTATAAGACGTGTGCTTATTTATGGTTGACCGCGAGAGTTTCTCCGATGAGTGCTAATTTGCATAAAATCGGATGCTACGGTATAATGTTGTTGGATATTATTTCCACGATGATGGTATTGATGATTATGCGCGTTTGCGTGTGCTGGAGTATATGCGAAATAGTTGTAGGAGTGCAAGGAGAACGTATATGCATGATGCCGAACGTTGTATATTTATGAGGCGAGAGGCCACGGATGTGTGTGTTTTAATTTTCAATCCAGGGATAGATGATACATGTATTAGTCATAATAATGGAAAGCGAATGGTAATGTAAATAAACACACGTGTATATTTATGTACGGGTAGCGATCGGAACGATGATTTCACACTCACTTGTTTAGATGATCATCGCGAAAAAAAAAAAAAAAATTATGTACGTGTATGTATATATACACGTATAGCCTTAACCGGTAACAAATATTATCTTCTGTTTGTTAATTGGTGGAAATACACTGTTCTTTGATTCTATTTTGTTTTTTTTGTAATTCAATTTATTTATTTAGCGCATCGGTTTTATTGTAGCTTTTTACCGGTTCGCCTGATAAAAAAAAAAAAAAAAGTGACCTCGCAGGCGATCAAATGCAGTTGTCGGTTTTTATTTTTCAAACTACAAATTAACATCACTTTTATTTTATAATCTACTAATATACGTGTATATACCTACGCGTGCACAGTGAACATAAAGAAATAGCTCGAATCACCGCAGGCGAAGCCTTCATTTAACATCGATTCTCGCGCAATCGGCTCGTCCTGTAGCTGTAAAACAGCAAAATTATATAAACGCATCACGAGCACTTGGCTCAATTGGCGTAAATTTTTAAATCGTCGCAAAAAACACAGCCGACAAGCGCGCGAGTATCCTCCAAACCCGGTGAAAGTCGATGAGGGAGCAACAAATGCATTTTGCAAAGTAAAAAAAAAAAAAATCCGTTTTTTTTTTCTTCCTCTCGATGATTATCATGTAGGTCAAAAATAGCTTTGACGTTCGATACTGTGCGGGTGTATAACACCGCGCGACCCTTTGACTCCACAATAGCCGTGCACCGAGTGATCATTGCATCCCCCTTCTCTTTACTACTCAGTTGTTTTAAAAATTGTGTGAAATTCGCGCACGGCAAACTGCAAATATATATATATATACGTGTACGTCTGCGAGGCAAGAGAGAGGGCAGAGAACCGGAACCAGAGAGAGACCAGCCGCGCGCACACACCACCTCCACAAAAGAGCGAAATACCTACAGTACCTATATACACGTATGTATATATTGCTCCAAAAGCGTTGGTAAGGAAAGGTGCTCCTCCTCCTCCTTCCCTCTTTTTTTTTTTTTTTTTTTTTTTTTTTTTTTTTATACGCGGTAGAGCGTTCCGTGAGTCATCGGGTGTTAAATACGTGAACGATTCCACGTAAAATCTCCTACAGAAACGTTTTCCATGGCTTTTCCACTCTGTCTTTCGTGAAGCACTTAACTTGGTATACATCAAGCCTTCGAGCTTAACTTTTATAAATTTATGACAAATGACAGGGTATTCAAGGCCATATTTAATTACATCTCATCAAACATTGTCGCACTCCCAAAGCCATCAGGTATATATACCAAAAGAGGTTTAGAAAGAGAAAAAAAAAAAGAAAAGAAAAATTATTCAATCCTTTCAAAAAAAGCTCCATGGAAAGACTTTTCCGCGGAACCGCTCGTGCCAGGCGAAAGACAGAGAGAGCGTGTCTATATTTCTTTTCTCCCCAGCTGCAGAGAGAGACTTGCGCTCTGGTGGCCCGGAGGTACAACACATATACCCGCGCCTCAGTACCTGGCCGGCCGTCGTCGGCGCCGCACGTGCTCGATTTTTCACACATCCATATATTTCGGAGCACCGAGCCTTCCCTGTTTCGTTTCCCTCGAAAACACTAACTGTTTTTCTTTCTTTCCCGACATTAATACATTGCAAACGCGGGTATACAAGTGTACAACCAAAAGAATAACACATAATGAATCGCGTCGATCGACCGCGCGCCTTTTACACAAATAGTATGTGCAAAAACGGCAGTGCAGCGCATTGGAACGGTCAACGGACGGACGAACGGCAATAATAACAACGATATATATGAAACGTGCTCGGTGCGCGAGAGTGAGTTTGATCCAGGAGCCACGAGCCTACAAATATATAATACTATATACATTGTACGTAAAACATATAATATATGCAAATACAGTTTCGGAGTAGTCGAATGCAGGGAAAATAGAGGGAAAGGCGGACCCATATACCCGTGCGGTGGATCGTGGACTGTCCACTAATACACCCCCCGGTGCGGTAGCAGGGCCCAAGGAGAGTGTAACGTATATACTTGTAGGTGAAGGAAGGGCCCCCTGGTTAGGAGGTCCTTCGCCGGTGGGGTGCAAGACGGGATCGGCGGTAGCGGTAGCCTTTTGGCGACGCCCGGCCAACTGGTGGCGCGGACTCGTGGCCGCCTCGTTACCCTGGCGCAGGAGCAACGGTTCTTTTCGGGCTCGGGTCGCGGGCTCGTCGTCCAAGGAGAAGAGGAAGAAGATGCAGCTGCCTCTGCTGTGCGAGCTCGTGAGGTACGACTGCCGCTTCGCTGGTGATTATCGGCTATTCTGACGGTACCGAGAGGCTCTTGAATGGTGTTGTTTTCCGCGCGTTTATAATATCGAGGGATCCAAGTGAGAGTGCAGTTTTTCATGCAGTGCGTACAGTACAACTCGGTGGATCGACGAGTGACAAAACGCGTGTGGTTCAAAAGCAACGCAAGTGCACTAGTTTTCCTCAATTGAACGGATCCGAGTACGAGTTTCCGCGGAATTGAGGTACAGAGGTAAGTTCTGAGCGCGGTATCGATACCTTTTTTTTTTTGTTTGCGCGCGGGAGATCGAGTGGTCAATTAATTGTTTCCTCAAAGGAGATTACCTATACGTAATCGGTATTGCACACAAATATTTACTTCCGTGCCTTACATTTTTTTTTTTTTTTTAAAGTCTCACGCGCATTTTTGACGTGTACGTAGGGTGTGTGTATAAAATAAAAGCAGAGTCAATCCAAAGCCAGTGAATAAAATATACGATGACGAACCGGTTTATATGTTGCTCGGTTAAATATATCTGTTGCGTGAATTTCTCTCCTCTTAATTGATTATCATTATCTCCTTATTTCATATCCGAGGAGACAATGGATCGATGCGAGTGTATAGCTTTCCCCCTCGTGTCGACGATTTACGATTTAAAATAAGTATTCACTAGTTCCATCGTTATTTTTTTTTATTTATTTTTTTTTTTTTTTTCATCGTTGACTTTGAATTGTCTATGAATACAACACGACGTGCGTCTGGATGGCATTGGTTGAGATAATGCTAACGACGTTGACCGCCGTTGAAACGTGTTCCGCGTCTCAAGTATAATATATTACATAATGAACACCGCTAATTGTTTCTCGGCCCCCAAACAATGCCGATACTTACCTATACATTATACCAACGCAAAACTCATTTACGAGCGTATAGGCAATAAGTAAGATGCCGTGATGTAAAATATGCGCGCTGATAAGCGAGCACAGGTGTCCGGCAGAAATGATTCGTTATCTCTCCGATAATTTTCCACCAGAGCTATAGATAATATTGCGTTTGTACGTAGCAATTCATTGTATTCATATATTTGGTCGCTATTTTTACGAATATAATATACGAAAAACAAAAAGAAAAAAGGGGTCGTTAAACCAAGTTTAAAAGTAAACGCGAACTTTCGTCCTCGACGATGGTCCGATGGTTCGAGTCCCAGTCTCTGTGCTCTTCGTATAGTGAACCGTGCAATACCAAAGGGCTAATTATAATATAATGACGCACACACAACGCTATGGAATACTTATTAATAAAGTCTATCAGTTTTTTTTTTTTTTTTTTTTACTTTATATTTTGGCACAAGCTGCTGTCAAAACACATGAAGCTGTAACTATAGCAGACAAATTCCAGCAGCGATACCGTCGAATAACAACTCATACCTTGAGTATCCTTAAAACTATAAGACAGTTACCCTTTTATTTTACTGAATTAGAAAGGTACCTGGTTTTCTTTTAAGGGCACCCCAAGTAGAATTTCTTATTTGTTTGTCTGCTAGTTTCAGCTTCATTCGAAACACATCGTCGAAGCAATAATAACACACGAGAGCAAAGAAGAAAAAAAAAACAAAAGACGCGTGCCGCACGAAAATCTAGGCCGTATTGTAATTCAACCTGCGTAAAGCGGCTGTGCTTGACATACGCATCATTGTGTGGTCGGGGGAGAAAAAGAAAAAACAAAGAGCCGTGTATACAAGAGCTCCGAGAAAAACAGCTGAGAGGAAGGAAACTCCCGGGCAGCCGCGTTGAAAGGACCATTTGACGGGGCGAGGTGCCGTTAAAGTGGGCCGCGCGAAAAAAAAAGGCCGGAATAGTTTACGGAGCGCAATAGTGTATGCTTAAAACAACTAAGTATGTATATGCATTAAAAAAAAAAGAAAAAAGTGAGGTCGTAGGAAGCAGGAACGATCTGTTTTCTTGGACCGTGCATCGGCAGGAAGATCAATTATAGCCGGTCTGGCGCTTTATTCATTCGCGAATCGCTTTGCGAATGCTTTCTCGTGGAAATCTTTCTTTTTTTTTTTTTTGCGTTGGGTTATTGCGTACACCCCACCTTTCCTTTTCGGATTTCAGTGCACAGTAAATGCACTGTTTTTTCGACACGCCAATCAGTTAATATGTTTGCTTTATCATTTTCATCATCGTTGATACAATTAAAAAATTCATATCCATCCCCTCGTTTGTGCACGTGTAAAACACTGCTTGAAACAATATGTTTTTTTTTTTTTTTCCTCGCAAAGAGTGAGGGTCGAGAGAATTTTGTATACTCTGTTATTTTTTCGTAAAGTATCACACCAAGTGTACGCGATTAATACGATACGAAGAAGCAATATCGAACGAGATTGCCGCGACGATAATATTTTCATTTTCACGAATAAAGTTAATAGAATGATGTATATCTTTTTCGTACGGAGATAAGTCTAATGTATACGTAAAAGGAAAAAAAAAAGAAAATAAAGCATGAGTCATTCGTTTGCGCGGGTTACACATATTCAACATCGATAAGAAAAATGTGTAAGCAGTGTGCTGAAAGTAATGATATTCCTTTCACTTTTAGTTCTCAAACACCTGTGCGACATTCGTGTTATTGTTTCCCCCCTCCCCCCACATAGCTTTTATCGAACCTGTAAAACATCGAAGGGTGTAAAATCACGAAGAATGTGGGTTATATTTCGCGCTCGCGACACTCCACCGGCCAACTGCGCAACACATTGTATGGTACGTCGTCGATAATTTTTCCATTATTTATCAGCCGTGACGTGTTTTTTAACCAATTCTCGCGATATGCGTATATAATATGTACGGATACAATCCCACTTTTATTGGCACACGAGAGGACGTGACAATGAGAATAACGACAATACAGGTAGTGCACTCACGTGAAAAAAAAAAAAAAAAAAAAAAAAAAAAAAGAGCAGCTGTATAAGTGTGCATCAAAGAAGAGCCACGTGCAACCAAGATACCAACTTACTTTTACGTTAAAAGCGAAAGCTTATTGCATCGTTAAATGCATCAAAGGCCACACAGCCCAGCCAACCGAACCCAACGAACCGATGCACAATCTATGTATACGGTGATGTATTATTGAGTCTCGTGGGGTTCCGGTTGACACAGGTGGTGCACCCAACACTACACTCCGTTTTCCCCCCACCCATGGTACACACTTAGTACTTACACTCACCTTATTCTTGTTTTTTTTTTCCCCCCCGTCATTGAACTTGCGCTCGCCCCCACGTAAGCAGCCTACATTATTGTATACGTGCCCAACTCTCATATGCACTTATGTGTACTTTTTACGCAACGAAAAGTTTTACAATTAAAGTCAAAATGATTACGTGCAAGTTGGAAAAATTTCGTGAAAGAAAAAATAAAAAAAATAAAAAAACAATGGTGCGACCGAAGGAGGAGTACTAGTAAAAAAAAACGAGAGTCGCGGCAGTCGTCGCGTCGCGAAAAAAGCACTTGGTCGACCTTATCCGTACGTATATGTCGTATATACATGTGCCCATCCCCGCATAAGTACACGCTCAGACGACACGCACAACGAAAGAGATATAGAGAGGGGGTCGATGTATGTGGGGGAGTAGCTTCCCCATACGTATGTGTACGAGTGACCGCGTAATCGCATAAATAGGCCGTTAGCCCCGCTGGAGCTGTTTGTTTATGCTGTACTTACCTAGTTGGTACGAGAAAACAAAAAAAAACCCTCTTCGAACTTTCGGTTTTGGACTTTTTTGTTTTTGAAAGTTCAGGGTTTTTTTTTCTCTTTTTACTGATAAAGTTGTTTTTATCGCTACCCTTGACACTTATCTAGATGCCTCGTACAAAAAAAAAAAAAAAACCATTTAGATCTGTGAATGGACTTTGGTAGTTTGGTTTGTGTCGCGTTTGGAAACGTTTATAGTTTTTTCCTGCCTTGGGGCGTTTTTCGTGACATTTGGCCGTTTACACAATAGCCGTAGTTACCCTATACTTCCATCTCTTGGAAAAATATCCCCAGTGGCAAAATGGCACTTTTGTGACGAAAACTAAGTACTTTTTTTTTTTTTTTAGTTTTTTTTTTTTTTTTTTTTTTTTTTTTTTTTTTTTTTATTTCATTACACGTCGCGATTGCTATATTAAAAAGACTTTTATTTTATCTCCGCCTATGATATAAAGTATAATACATGCCTGTAAAAGTGTGAACGTTGGTCGAAAGAATGACTCTGTTTCGTCAGTGCTATTATTAATACTAATATTATCATCTTGGGATACCTGTATATATGGATGGCGAAACAATGCGATTAAAACATTACGTATTTTAAAAAACATTTATGACTTATTGCTGACATATTAAGCTACCTCTTTTGTTTTATAAGAAAATAATTGTTTTTGCATTAGGTTTCATGCAACTTTTTACAACCCATTTTGGAAAATATACCAACAAGCATATACTTATTTTTGGGTCAACTAACTTGTCAGAATACAGATTACTTTTAGATATAGAGATACGATTCAAGGTATAAAATCTGATTAATTGTATACTTATACACGCGTCGGTGCGAGATAAAAATCACTCGCAAGCTTCTCTGTGTATTTTTATTATTTTTTTTTTTTTTTTTTTTCATAAGCAGTAAGTGTTTTTCCGTAGAAGTGTAAAAATTGGTACGAGACAAAAGGCAATTTAACCTTTTCTCCCCTTTTTTGACGTTACCAAACAAAACCTCACTCTCTCACCACGCGCGAGAGGAAAAAAAAAAAAGTACTTACGCGATTGTCGAAGGTCTCGCGCAACACAGGTGTACATACATATATATATAAAATACATAGAGGAGAGGATTTTCCACTCTGTACCGCATCACCGAGGAGCTATAAGAGAAGAGAAGAAAAATAAGAGTCTTTGAATAATTGCATTTGGGTATTTAGCGGAGGCCTCACTCCTCCTACTATCCTACATATTATATAGTCCCTGTGCAATTTTATCGTGCTCACGATTCGCATACGATGCGCGCACACGTGACCGGGGGATTATCATTGTGCAACGAGGCGAACAAAAAAAAAAAAAAAAGTACATACATATACCCGTACTTACACCACTTGTACGTATACATTGCTACTTAAATTAAAGGCACTTAATTTCCCCCCTCCCCCCTCTCTTTTTATATTTTGAAACTCCTTTGGTTAAGTATAGTTGGGCACGTGATCGATCGACCGTTGGCTCATTATATAGGTGTACCCATGAATTACGGATCTCCGATGGTACTATACGCTCGGGAGAAGAAGGGAGAATCCTTGTTTGTGTCACACTTTTTGCGCAACCCAAATAAAAAGAGTTTTGGGTCTTTCGCGGTGTGGAAATTACAGGGTTCATCCGTGACTCCTCTTTTCTTTTTTCTCGAGCAATTGTCTCTCCCTCTAGTATAGTACAAAACAGCCCATTTTCACTGCGCAGAACGACCCTCTTATTTTTCCTTTCAAGGGGACGGATTGAAGCCAACATTTATTGGCCCCAACAACCCCACTCTCCCGGGCGCGCGCGTATACAAAAGACAAAAAAAGGCCAGCAGTTGTACATCAATGACATCTGTGTACCTCTTGACACACGTTTTCTTTGTTTTTCAGGCTATAGCCTCCCCGAGCTTCGAGTCGTCGGTGAGCCGCACATGGCGGGTCGTCATGCCGAGCCGCGTCCGCCACAGGGCGCGCCGAAGACGATCCCGCAACCGATCTCTTGAGCCGCGCAGCCCGCGGATCGGGTAGATACACACACCTAGAGAGCCGAGGAGGATGCTGCCGCGCAAGGAGGGCCATTACGAGCCGTACGCGCTCGAGGACATGATATCGAGCCTGCAGACCCGGGGCAATGCTTCGCTCGAGGACCTCAGCGAGGATCCCGGGGAGTTGCTTAGGCAGCGGGAGCGCGACCTCGTGCTCGCGGCCGAGCTCGGCAAGGCCCTGCTCGAGAGGAACCAGGAGCTAACCAAGCAAAGCGAGGCGCTCGCCGAGAACTACGCGGCCAAGATCGAGGTGGGTGATGGCTTTTCCGTCGCGTGTATGTATATGTAATTCATGTAGTTGCTCCCCTTTTTTGCTTCGTCCGCGGGTTTATTTGCGTCTTTGTGGCGCCAACGGATGGAGTAGAAAAACCCTCGCTTCCGATGTGCCTTGTCGATCGTTGCGTACACGGCATGTCCGATCACGTGTCTCCTTTGTGCTTCAGAATAAATATACTTGACTAGAAATTTTGTCGCTAAATGAAACACGAGTACAAAGTAATACACTTTGTTTTTGCTCCTCGTGTCCTGTATGTTATACATGTATGACACTCGCTTGCTCGAGGCAAAGAGAGATCGCTAAAACAAGTAAATTCGCGTAGTAACATAAAGCGGGTACCTATATAGCATTTATCTAATTGCAGTTACGAAGCGCGGTATTGTAAAAGTGAAAACCTTTTTTTTTTTTTTTTTTTTTTTTTTTTTTTTTTTTGCCAAAGAGCGTCCAATTGTACAAACAAGTGTATATACTATATATGATTCGGCGTTCCTCGGGCGTTACGAAAAGTTGGCCGGTACCGTTGATGCGATGTTAATTAAAAGCTCGTTAGACAACACGACTGTATAGATTCGATATGTCAATGGGGCTCGAGTGTGCGTTTATATACTTACATGTGTGACGCAAGGTGTAAAAAACGATGTGAACAAACTACCACGTGCAGGTACGAGCGTTTCAGAATTATCCGAAAAGAAAGAGGGAATATGCCCCGATAACGTTGTTTCATCATGCAAACAAACAATATTTGTCTTTTTTCTTTTTTTTTTTTTTTTTTTTTTTTGCAAAATCTTAAACACATATATGTCACAATATGTAAATCCTTCATATTAAATGCGCGAAATTGCGTACTCAATGGCTTTAAACGTTATTATATACGATTATGCTCGGCCGAGTTTATACAATCTCGTTAACACACAAAACCGCGAGTACACACACCAATAGGCTAAAAGTGTAACATTTCGCGCGCAAAAAAAAAAGAAAAAAAAAAAAAAAAAAATGAGCTTCTTACGCAGGTCTGTGTGTGCTCTCTCGCCAAAGCCGATCGACGAGGAGGAATCTTAAGCCGCGCAGCCTAACCGAAGTACACACACACACACACACTCGGGTGTTCAGTGCAAAGAGATCATACGCTTGTCGTATACCTCTACACACCGTGTCAATAAGACGCTCTTTTCGCGGCAGCTTACTTATCGAGTACTTACTTGTTTGGGTATATACACTTTACGAAAATCCTCCACGGGAGCGCGAAAAAAACGAAACGCAACGCCTACATCGAGGCTACAAATGTCATGCTTACTTTATATACATATATGTGCATACTGCAGTAGCGATCGATGAAAGCGGCAAATCGTACGCTCGCGGCTGTACTTACTTGCGATTGTCTGGCTTATAGGTGTATAAGAATTATAATCCATAGGGTATAAGCCAAAAGCTCTGCACGTGTGGCTACTTTTCTCCACTATGTAGAAACACCAAAGTACATGATAGGTATAGGAGAGTCCAGTGGCCGCGTCTACATGGAGTTGTCGATCGCGTGTTATCTCTTTTTCCGCGTGCCAACTGCAGCATTTGTATGGTTTTTGCTCTTGTGTATTTTGCACCTGTACGTAAGTAAGTACCTATATGTCGAGAGCGTATAAATACATGTATACCCACACGTGGCAAAAGTATGATGTATATGCCTCTCGCGAGAGGAGAAAACCCAACTATTTCTAATCGGATAGGCCGCATCGCGCACACCCTCGTCGCCATGGATTTTTATACACTTACTTGTTGTTGTACATCTATTTTCTTCGTAAGTCAATTTTTTTTTTTTTTTTTTTTTTTTTTTTTCAGCGTGTAAAATACTCATCGATTTCAACTTGAATAGTCATCGAAAGTAATTACAGGTATCGAAGAATGAAGCAAATGGTACTAGATGGCGAACTTGTACTTTTCACCATTCGATATACGATTATTCAATTATTTATTTTATTTATTTTTTTTTTTTTTTCCAATAACCATAGCAACTTACCGTATATAGTCCACTTGCAAGTAGAAAAGAAAATGATGACCTCAAACAAGGGAGAAAAACCACCCTGTATCTACTATGTACTGCAAAAAAAAAAAAAACTATCGTACTCTTTCACCTGCGTATTTTATTCAAGCCGTAAATACACGTAACAATGCAGGAAGGTGTCTTGGGTACACACGAAAAAAACCGGAGAATCGCCTCGCCACCCCAAAGAGCACCGAAGCGCAGAGCTCGCTCCTTGCGCGTCCTCGAAAGGAAAAGGCCCGAAAAAAAAAAAAAAAAAAAAAACTGCGCAAATCCACGCGTAATTAATGTAACTCGGTGTACGCGGCCAATAACGTTACATCCACGTAGACCTCGCGCGCTAACTCAACTCGCTCCAGCCAAGGTAGAGAGAGAGCCAAGTATATAGGTATAGAGCGAGGAGGAGGAAGGAGTCACGAAAGCGTGGAAATAAGCCACTTACTTAGGCAATATCAGATCTGTATGTGTATGTCTGTGTGTGTGTATGTATATACGTGTGTGCGAGGCCAATTTTCCTTCTCCCGTCTTTTTTTTTTTTTTTTTTTATATGTACAACCGTATGTACCTATAGCCTTTAGAGTCCTATCACCATCATGGCCCGCCGTAACAATGCCCGGCACCACGCTTCGCGGATATGTGCCTTCTTTTATATATATATATTATATACACATATGCACTGACATATATATTATATGTATCCTCCTTGCATGTCTACGGCGATTCATACCGTTTCGTCCTGAATTTTGAGCCTTAAATAGCTCCTTGAGTCTACCTATATATACACTGCCATGATCTCAATACTCGTCCTCTCTTTCTCTCCCTTTTTTTTCTTTTCTTTTTTTTTTTTTTTTTTAAAGGAAGAATCGATGCGTTTGCCGGTATACTTCTCAACTCACACATATAATATTTGAGTATGGTTTTTAGAGTTGGGTGAAAAAAAAAAAAAAAAAAAAATACATATGGATAATCCGTTCCATACAGGAGCCTAGTCTCTCATCACCCACAGTTTTTGCAATTGAGGAAAGTGTATGTGTATGTACGAGGAATATATACCAAGTGCGACGTTTTTTTTTTTTTTTTCATGCCTCGCGAAGATTATCCAGTTGTTACAACACGAAAGAGAGAGCATACACATATACGTTCTTAGACATAGAGCAGGACAAAGAGCTTTTCCTACGACTGCACGTTATTATGGTTGCTATACTTGTTTGTCTTTGCGTACAGTTGCCTACGAAAATGTGATTTTTTTCTTTTTCTTCTTCTTATTCTTTGTTTGCACAATAAATAACCGGTGAGAGAGAAAATTGCTGCGTTAGTATAAGGGGGAAGAAAAAACTGTAGCTTCCCAACTAAAACATGATTACCTTTGACTTACTGTTTTATTTATTTATTAATTTTTTTTTTTTTTTTTTTTTTTTGTGGTAAGAGTTGAGTTGAAATATTTACCCAAAAAACACGAAAACTTCAATCAAATATAATAATTGTTCAAGTTGGCAAATGTACTTTTCAAATCCCTCTTCAAAGCTACACTTCGAAGGAGTTTTTATTCACTTGACTTTTTATACACAAACCGGCAGGTGTAATACACCAATATTATATTGACATTTTGCTTTACCCCTTTTTAATAATCAAATAAAAAGTCGAAAGAAATCTTACGGTATAACATCGGAACTTTATTTAATTTTTCCTTTTTCTTCCGACACATTGCCGAAATCGCTTATTTCCTATACGCGGAAAAAGTGACACCGAAAAGAAAATTTAAAGGAAAAAAAAAATGGAGACGGTGATAAGGCATACGTGTAGTGTCATCATCCCCCATAAGAAGTTGTGCACCTTGTGTGAAAGATTCGCTACACACGGACGTGCCCACAGAAAGCGTGATTTAATCAATATAGATTTTGCCCTACAGGTGCGTCGTCCAGAATTATAAATCCTTAAAAAAAAAAGCGTAAGTATTCTTGGAGCGTTTTTCACAGTAACTGCCTTTTGTTTGCGATAGCGAAGCAAAATTTTCTTTTCTTTTCACGCTCCGATGCGAAATCTCGTTGATGGACATTGTAATAATAATAGAGGAAAAGCGCGCAGTCGCGGAGCACATACACAACCGAAAAACCGCGCAGTGGAAGCGGTAAAGTTAATTTTCCGATAACTCGACGAGTACTGATAAAACTTTCCCTCTCGGTGTATACATACGTGTAAAAAAAAGGATGCGCGTCACGAGGAAAATCGGCTCGGTATTACAGTATCGGCGGAATCGGGAAAAGAAAAAGAGGCCGCGGTTCCGTACGATCGAAACCGATTGCAAGGCGTTGCGATCGACTGAATCACGCTGCGCTGGTAAACTTACGTAAAAATTTCGTTTTTAACAGCGGTGGACTCATTGCAGAGAGAAGAGATAAAAAAAAACCTTCCAAGTGCCGACCAACACAAGGAGTCGCGGGTGTTTATTATACATTATACGTGTTGTAGAAATAATAATAATAATAATAATAATAACAACGTCAAGTTAACGCGGAAATCGATTTTAATAATAATGAATTATAATCACGTAATTCGATCTCCTTTCAAACGTGTGTGTATAAGTGTGCGTCACGTGTGCTTATAGAATAAGCGGGAGCCAAACAAAAGGNTGGGCAAAAATATTGGTGTGTACAGTCAAAGATTCGCAGATGAAAGCGGTACGTACGTGTAATGAAAAAAAAAAAAAATAATAATAATAATAATAACAACGTCAAGTTAACGCGGAAATCGATTTTAATAATAATGAATTATAATCACGTAATTCGATCTCCTTTCAAACGTGTGTGTATAAGTGTGCGTCACGTGTGCTTATAGAATAAGCGGGAGCCAAACAAAAGGAAAGAAAACACTAAATAATGACGGAAATTTTCTTCGAAAGCCAATTATTGGTGTATTGTAAGGACACAGAGGGAGGATA